CTTTCTCTCTCAACTTACTCGTTTATGAGCTACAGGATGCCGAATGTACATCACAAGCCTTTCTTTTAGATATAACACGCTGTAACTCCTAAATGGGGTAGGTTTAGAGAAAAAATGTCACGAATAAAAAAATTGCTTTTAAATTCTAAAAGAATACTAAAATACAGCGTACTCCATAAGAAATAACAAAGTTGTTAGCCATATTGGAAAATGGTGGATATATTATTTTTATTCGTAACCATCCCTAAAAACATTTTTTACAAATAAAGGGGGTCGTCGAATAAAAGTTAACTCTATATGGAAAATCAAATTTATGTAGGCCTATGTTCACTATGTAATCTCAACCTGGATGAAACGTGTACCCTTTTATAGCAGAATGTCCAATTTAAAAAAAGATACGTCAATTTTGGTCTAACAAGTTATATTTAAATGAATATGAGTTTTTTTGAATTTTTAAATGGCAAAGATTGGCGGGCACTTCGAAATTATCTTAAAGAGGCGTAGAGTAAAGGGTGGGAATTGATAATGGAGTATAATTATTACATTTAAGAATTGAGATATCAATACAAAAATGGGAAAAATCTATGTAATTTAAAAAATTTATAAAATATTGTTTGTTAAGACAAGTATCTATCAAAGTAAATTATAAAAGTAACAGGTTTGTTTTATGAATTATTAACTGTTTGTAGGAAAAATTCAGATTCTCAGTAGGCTACATTTAAATTTTATAATTAATTCAATTGTTATCTGATCTTTATTAGTATGTAGTGCTATTTGTGTATATTCTGTAGTTGAAATCAGTTAATTTTATGAATAATTGTATGTGATTCATGGAATTTTTTAAACTGTTTTAAAACATTTTAAAATTAGTGTGTCGAACACAAAACAGACGGTCTTTGACCATTGTTCTTTGCATTTAAATAAAAAAAAACACTGTATTGATATTTTATTACAATGAACAAATTTTCTTCTTCTCCTTCTTCAGAAATCTATAAAAATTCTTTTTAAATATTTATTTATCTAATAATTCTTTTTGTAGATTATCGTAACGCAAAATGAATAATAAAAGATTGCATTATTATCCTTACCAGTTTTAAAGTTATAGCTTAATTGCTAAGAGGCTGTAAATTTATCTAAAAAGGGGGGTTAAAGGAAAGCACAAGGGGGGAGGAGTGTTGACTTTCAGGAAAATGATCATCTCAACATGGTCTAACAACATAGACAAATTCAGCTTTCCCATAGTTACTTACAAAAACATAAAACCGATATTGACTGTGGGCGTACCATCCATGCGCGCCTCGATACTACTACGAATTTTCCACGTTTACTCTTACTGAAATCAACGTAGCTCTGTTGTTTTTGCACAGATTTCTTTAAACTTGGTGCTGTTGTACTACTTGTTAATTTTTCTAATCATAAATAGTTTGTAACATGCCCTAAACCAGCGCAATATTTCCGATATTTCATTTTAAAGTATTTTTAAATTTTTGTTTTTGCAATAAATGTTGATTAGCGCCTAAAGTATGAGAGATAGAAGAAAGGTTGTAATAACCTTTTTAAAAGACAATATATTTAGGCGTAGATAGACGCTTAATTCACCTTTCTATCATTAACCGTTTGTGAGTTAGACGCGGAAACGTAAACCGATGACCCGCGCAACTTCCCCCCCTCCCCCCCGAGTTGTGACCACCCTAGAAATGCGACATCATCGATTTTTTTCATCTACTAGATGTCCCCAACAATAATCAAAAGTCAAATTTTGTCAGACTTTCAGTGCATACTCAACCCGTTTAGCGCCTGGACTATTTACAATTTGACTGTGGTTAAACATTCAAATGAATGATCAGCTGTTAAATTACAAGAAAATTCACATCTCAATCACATCTAAATACTTTCACAGCATTCAAACTTTGAAATAACTTGATAACCATTTGTAAATTTAATAACACGTACAATGCTGATCAAGATGTTATTTAACCGTTCGTCACACATCTAGATCAAAGCTTTAAAACGACGCCCCAATCGTAAAAATAGGTTAAGTAGGACAGTTGGAAAAGGGCATGGTGGAAGGATAAAAAACAGGGTCGCCGGAATTTTATCCACCTGGAATTTTACCCCCTGGGCAAAGTTGAAGTCACTATGACGTAGTAACCCGAGTGGCCAAAAGTTTGTTCGCGGCCGGAATTTTATCCCCTGGTTTGTGACGTCACGTTTGCCCAGGGGGTAAAAGTCCAGGGGGATAAAAATCCTCTACCCCAAAAAAAACATAGGTGTGATAGGCATACTTCCGTCAGACTGACGTCACCCAGATTGCAAGCGCCAGCAACTGCACAAAACACCATTTCATGTGTTATTTCTCATACACAGTATAATCATAATCTTGCAGCCAGCAAAAATTTAAATGGTCAACGAGATTTTTATGCTCATTTATATATTTTAATAGAGTTGAATTCGAGCCTGACCAGACGTTTAGTTACCGATAAAATTAAGTATCAATCAATGATGGGACACATTTCAAACAATGTGCCATTTTTTTAAGATAAAGAAAAAAAACATTAACTAATGCTGACAGCCCGGTAATAATACGCAATTATTTGCAATAAGTTTATTCCTCGAATATTTTGTTGTAAAGTTTAATAGTTACAGACATAAATTTAAACACCATATGGCATATATTTTCCTGTATTATGCTTATTTATATTTAATTCAATGTTCCTCCTCCCCATCCAAAAACAATTTTCACCATCACGTAAAACCATTTATTGATAAACAATCCATTTATCCTTATAATATTTTCTAAGTAATTTTAATGATTCAAAATTATTTTAAATCTTTAATGTAATAATCCTAGTATTTATATAATCGGGTTTGTATTATAATACAGTACTACAACTAGTAATTCTGGAAAAAGCGTCACGCTAAGAATCACTTGATAAAGAAGTTAATTTATTATTTTATATTATAAAATAGTTAAACTCGGGCATTCGCACTGTAAAACACTAAAACCTTTAGGAGTATGATCTATGCTAAAACACAACAGAAACATATCTTCGACATTAACGCACTCGTTTTAACCGGATAAAAACACGTTGAAAACTTCCGTATTAAATTTTACCGTGTATAGTATACTTATAAGTATCCAAAGTCAATAGAGCCTACCTGTTATCTATAGTCTAGTTGAGTCTCAGTTCCATTGTTGTGACAGAGGCACCTAGTAACGTGAACGCCTGCAACTTCAAACTGACACCTGTAAAGCTGTTGACCGACTCAGGGCCGGGCATGCGCCAGTGGACGTTTACTTTGCCGGTAAACGCAGAACGCTCAACTGAAATGTGCGTGCACATAATAATACTTGCTAGGCTACATCAAAAAGCCTGTGGAGTAAACAAGAAATAAGCAAACAGGATGGCAGGTTCTTGAGAAAAGTGAGAAGCTGAGAAGCTATTGACGATTCAAAACTGGACCCAGCTGTCCAGTGTCGGTCCCGAAGAGTGGCTACAGGACCTTCTTTGGACCCTGGAAAAATTAATTTAAACTTTTTGTCATAAAAATATAACGGAGGTTTTAAAATCTGTCGTGATCATTGGACTTTGAATTAATTGTACTGTACTGGCTAAAAACAGCGGATTGTAGGGGTAGGTATATATAGTCAATGATTGTAGTCAGTAATAATAAGACACACATATCATATCCACTCCATTTTATACACTCGTCCATCATATACAGGGTGACAATTTTAAAACTTTAAGACGAAAGGAGATATCACACCCAAATTTGGCATATCAATACTAGTAGTATTAGTAAGCTACTTTTTAGTGTACATGGTGATCAGATGTCACGTGTATGGGGGACGGCCCATGGGGAGTAAGTTAAAATCTTAAAGGTAAGCATATAGGTTGATATGTACATCAAATTAATTAAATTTCTTGTCCGAACTAAAACCAATACCACAAAACGGACCTACAATGGACAATCGAGTAAAAAATTACACTTAAATAATGGTTAAAAACGTACCTTATCAGACAATCCTTGACATGTTTTGTAGTGTCGAAAATAACTTGCTACATGTTTCGGTGGTTATTAAATTCCACCATCGTCAGGCACACAAAAGGATCCACTTCTTGAGGTGTCGTCAGAGTTACATACATTTATCACAAACACAAAACACGAAACGATTAAATACACGGTCGGTAACAGATAGGCCTATCAACTTATGCACGTACATTGCCGCGGGCAGGACTGGAAGTAGACTCCAGTACTGTAATTTTTTATGAATTATAAAAAATTACAGCTGTTCAAAGATTTCTTGAATCTGCCATCTTTCAACAGCTTCCATTTTTACTCCATTGTTCTTACTTCTGTCTTACAATCTGACTTCTCTGTGATATACTTGATATTTTTTAAGCTCTCTATTACATAGTTTCAAAATAAGAAATTTAGAAATGTTATGTTTTAGGGTCATAATTAATGAAAAACCAAAATTTTTACCCCATAAAAACCCTCATAAACCCCCATTCCCATGGTCCGACCATGCTAGTTCGTGAACTCGATCAAATAAACATAGGCTTACACGTTTTTACAATATTTCATAAAAACCGGACGATTTTTTCTCGCGTTATCGTGCTAATGGATACACAATTACACACATGTTTAAAAACATATACCAAAAAGTTCAATTGGTCCCGGGTCCAGGTCTCTCAAATAATAAATTTCTACGGTAAAAGTTTATTTCGTTTATGGGAAATTCGCTATAAAGTTACGGCTGGTGACCTTTATTATAAATTTTAATAGCAAACTAGGCAGCGAATTTTAATAAGAAACTGCGCAGCTCCATAGTTTTTGTGAAGCTTGGGAAGAAAGAAGAAAAAATATTATTAAGGATAAACCAAAATTCTTAAGGTTATGTTTGGTTGGAAGTTTGGGTTTGGCGGGAATGGAAGACAGGACAGAGTTGAAGAAAAGAGAATTTAAGTTACTTCATCTATGGTCATAGCATAGGTAAGCCAATGATAATATATATGCTTACTGTTTAGATTATTTTGAAACAGTAATTTACCCTTGATTGGGTTTCGTTCAATTTGGATATGTGGTTAGTATAAGTGTAGAAATAAGAAAATCACTAGTAGCCGAACTTACCTCTCAACCACTGTGTGGTGTATGGGTCACAAATCTTAGAAGTTAGGCCTATATCAAATATATGCTTTTATGATTAACATGGCACTTTACAGCTTGAGCTTAGTTCTCAAAGCACCAGATCTAGTACAGTAGGTACACTTTGGCTTAGTCGTTACCTAAATGCTAATAGTTATCGTGGAGCTTAGAGGTTCGAGGTTGTCTAGAGTAAGTTATCTTAACTAGCCTAAGTTTGCAAATAGGTTTAGCAATCTTTGTGCAGGCCCATTTTAGCACCCCCCCCCCCTCCAAGGAAAGGTATTTTTTCAATCAGATGCAAACTGATGTGGGTAATTTTAACCCTCTATGTGTTTAAATTACCACTAACGGTACATAAGAGTACAATTCCTTAATTTGTTTCTATAAATGATGGCAAGGCACATTTTTTAGGTCAGAGGTGAGGTTGTTGTACAGCTTTGGGCCAAAGTACGAGAAGCTTTCTTTAATTAAGGATATTAACGCTTAATAAGGAAACATTTGCTGGAGTAAACAATAAATACTTGTTTAGGTTACCCAGCTGTCCCAAAAGTACATTATTTCTTCAGTTCTCTCAACGAATATTGTGTTTGCATTCAAGACCATGTTTCCAGATAAAAGATGAGTTCTCAAAGAAAACTTTCTCAGCATACAAAAAAGAGCCGAATAGAAAACTCACAACTCAGCCAGTCTCAAGCGTCCCAAAGTTCATCTCAGCGCAGCAGGACAGACAACCTAACAGAGGAACAGCTAGAAGTTGCTGTTCAAAATGTGACAGCATTCCTTCTGTGTGAGATGAGTAACAAGAGGAAAATCCGCAAGGATGATGTTGTCGCCAATGCGTTGAATAAGTCAGCTCGTCAGTATGCTGAGATCATGAAAAGGTCTCAAGCAATTCTTGATAATGTAAGTACCTACAACCTATTCAACCCAGTAGGCTAACTCTGGAATATTTTTAAATTTTTCTTCTAGATCTATTTGGTTGGTACCGGCAACCATTTCAAACCGATTTGTCCATTTTAATTCAAATTAGAAGCCAAAAATATAAACTCCATGTTCTCCTCCTCTACCAATGTTAGAATCAAAACAGGTGAGTAAGTTGAATAGCCTTAGGTCCTCCACTCCAGTCAAACCACATATTAACTTAAGCTTAACTTATGGATTGCACATGCAATCCTGTAACCTTGTAGGCCTACTATCTAGAAAGAACTGTAGGCCTACAATTCACTCAATAGTGCAAGTCTTAGAAAACTGAGCTAGGCCTACCAGGCCACTATTTGCCGGACGGATCAATTTCCACCCCAACACCAGCACTTGTAAATTTAGATTCTATTAACTAAAACGCCAGTAAAGCTACTTAGCCGCAAAATGCAATGACGTGCTACACACAAAATGCTGCTGAGTCAATGGGTTAAGTTTATTTAGGCTAATAATAAGGAAAAACAATTTTAAGATTAGATTGCTGACATAATTGCTGACATAGATTGTAGCGGCATTATCCAAGGGACTTTGAAATCAGCTGGGTTATAGAATTAAACTAACCTGTAGTAAGTTATTAAAACAACAAGATATAAAGAGATTTTAATTTTAAAAACCTATGAACACACAGAAGGCTAAAATACATCAATTCCTTGAATGTTGACTTCAGCATTACATACTGTAGTAATTATTTTGGTACTTTACAGGTATTTGGGCTGCAGATTGCCAGAGATCCAGACCACAGCGATATTTTTATAATATTAAATAAACATCAAGCAAGGTTTGTTGACCTGACTTTGGGTCTTTCGACTGACGGGGATGTACAGGACGACCTCATACTCACTGTAGTATTGGGATCTATATTTATGAACAGAGGGCAAATGTATGAAAGTAAGTACTGTAGCCAACTGATTAGTCCTTAGACCTAAATTACCTTAGTCACCATTTACTTTACTAACGTTTCACTTAAAGTAGTAAAAAATGGAGTGTTGCTAGTGGAGTTTAGCTTATCACAAGTTTGGCAGGAGAACATTTTTTAATCCCATTTTATTCACTTAATCTTGAGAGAATTGGACATAGCGAACACAGAAAAACAATAGAACGGGAATGCCATTCAAACGAGCACCACAGATGCCAAAACTGCTATCTTGGTTTGACGTAGAAGCCATGCAACGCCTTGAAATCGACAGAAATTAGTAGTGCTGATGTTACAAATACTGCATTTTTACACCCCTGTAGTTAAGATGTATCCAGTTTCGAACCATCTAAAAGCTACTGATTTTCCTCAGAATCAATCCGGCAACCTTTTGATTGTTACACTATAAACTACCCACGAAACATGTAGGGGCCGAGTCATCTAAAAAGGTCCATAGATATGGCTTTTTCAATTGACATTTGAAATCAATCCTAATAATCAGAACTATTTAATAGCAACTGAAAATTAGCTGTTCTTTTTACGCCATATACACTGGTTGTAAACTGCTGAATTGGGAAGTTTTCTTATTGCTATTACAATTAAGTTCAATCAAGTAAATTTTGTAGTAGATAGAAAAGATTTTTGTCATCCTGTGTTTTGATTCAAGGTCTCTGGAATTTCAATTAGGCAACCGGTCACATGTAAGGAATATCAAAAAATAAATAAGCAATACAATCTCAAAGGCAAAACCCAACACTAAACTATTACTTAACAACTTGTGTTTTTTTTTTGGGGGGGGGGGGTTTAAACTTTCTGTAATCAGATACTACTTTTATGTCTGTAAATGACGTTCAAGCCTTTGTTCCAAAGATTAACAATGTGGTCCTCGAGGAGAAAAGGTTGTTGACCCCTGCTCTAGGCTATACTTACTAGTTAAAAAGTGAATTTAGTTGTGGCAGTTTGGATAAAGACAAAAGGAACAAAAATTAGATTTTTGTATGATCTGAAATTTCCTTTAGTAAAAAAAAAAATAAAAGTCCCCTACAAGGTACCTAGGCCTACATTGTTTTTATTCATGTTTTTTTCCAGGCCATTTGATGACAATTTTAGAAACAGTTGGTTTTCTCAGTGATAAATTTTATGGCTCTGAAGGTGCACACAAAATGAAAGACCATGTCGCAAACTTGGTTAAAAAGGTGAGTAGGTAACGAAGAAAGCATTGAACAATTTTTAATTTTCTACAAAATATGGTTGTTATTTCAGATTTTTTTAACCAATTGCTTTTGCTCAAGGTCACATATCAGTTTTTGAGAAATCTCAAATTAATAAAGCCTGGTATTATATGTTACTAACTTCTGAACATAATTTTAGTAGCATCAGGACTTAAACTAGGCGTATTGATTTTAGTGAATGTTAACTAACATAACAAAACCTTTCTGCAGTTTTAACCACAGTGGACAATTTTCTGGTTCTTTTTTAGATATTCATATTATGCTTTTTTTTAGTAAAGCTGTTGTGAAATAGTCTACATTGATAGAATCCATTCTAAAACTATTATTAAGGCATAGTCCTTTTTTTAAGATTCTAAAACTTTCAATTAATATTCGAAAGATTCTAAAACTTTCAATTGATATTCCAAAGATTCTAAAACTTTCAATTGATATTCCAAAGTGTGCTAAATGCAGTGATGCATTGACTTGTTCTTGTTCTAAAACGCCCAAACATCTGGCAACATTCCCAGGTATTATTTCACACAATCGTGATAAAAGAAATCACCATCCCCTAAAAATCCCTAAACTGATGGGTACTACGGTGCCACCTTAAATTTAAATTTTGTAGATCCTTAATGAAAAGAACAAAAATTTTTTGATTTGTCATCTCTTTTCCCAATTGAACAAACGTCCAGGTTGTGGTAGCCTGAAATAGCGGTAGTAGCTAAATAGTGCCCTGGATTTTCAAATCCATCTGATTATCTCAAATCTCTTGAGACTCAGTAGATTCAAAATTCAGCTTTGACATTTCACTTGTTTTTTTGTAGACGTTTGTGAAGCAGATGTACCTAGATGCAGAAGTTGTTGCTCGGCCGCAGCAACAACAGCGACCTCCGTTGCCTGAAGGTGAGATGAAGGTCACAGTGTACAAATGGGGCTACCGAGCAATGCTGGAGGTCAATCTGGACAAACTGGTCGACTACTTGGTAAAGGTAAGCCAATCACGAATATTGTTCGATACACAGGCCCTAATGATTTTTGAATGTTTCACCTTTACATAGGATGTTAGGCTCTAACCGAAACATTACTTTAGGCTGGGCCCAGAGGATTGTGGCACTATCACAATCTATTTGTGATTGGCGAGATTTGAACCCATAACGTCAGGGACTGAGTTGTGTGCTTGACCAATAGACCAGCTTTCAATGTTATAATTAGAATAATAACCTCAACCTGCTCTTCCCGTAACTTTGAGTACTAGTTATATTCCAGTATGGTTTGATAATCAAGCGAGGATGCAATTTGAGATGCTTTTTTAATAGCAGAATATTATTAATGTTGTGATAAATTAACCTAAATACTACCAGAGTAAATGACATTTTGTAAGGATTTGGTTGGTTGTTTTAGACCTACATCTATGCTTTTTAGAAAACTTTGGTCAGATGTTTCAGAACTTGATTCTAGGACTATGAAAAACTTGACTTAATTCCATAATTGATATCATTAATCACACCCAATTTTGTGGGAACTATGAATTCTGAAGGGTATCTTAATCTCAATAAAACTTATCAACTCAATCCCTCTTTTCAAGCTGGGAAATTATAAATACTCAATTAGTACTGGTACCCTATTAATACAAGATTACAGAACAGAAATAAAGAGAAAACATTAACAACTCTTCAGGATTTATTTAAGCACATTAGTTGTAGTGAAATTCTAGAATATGTGCTTCTTGATAAGATACTTCAATAACTTATATTCCACAACAAACAACAAAAATTATGTCCCGTATTGTCAATATTTAAGTTAGGAGTTTAAATTTACGTCCGCTACTTTAAAATTTCAAACCCCCCCCCCCCCCTCTTAACTCCCTTAATTTTCTAAGTGGATATTTTTTTTTTGTTCATTTAATTTTGTTGTTGTGGTGTCTTCAGACCAATTGATTGAAATAAATAAAAAGGTTAAATACCTGATTGTCGCCTTGTGGTCCAAAGCTTGTCCTACCGGATTATGCACCGAAATGCACATAATCAAGTAGGTAGGACAAACTTTGTACCACAAGGCAACAATCAGGTATTTTAACCTTTTTATTTATTTTTTGTTCATTTGCATTTAAGAAAGGTGAGATTTCCTTGCTTAACTTATTTTTCACTACTCTACTGTGAAATTACCTGTTTTCGTTTTATGTTTATCACGTGCTAAAATTTATCATTATTTTGTTTACTATGCAAAATTAATGTTTACTACCTATTTTTGGTTTTGCCGACGTAAACAAACACATCTTTGTAGTGTTGCGAAAAGTAACGTTCAAAACACGAGTAAAAGTGGGTCTATGCATTTTCTCAACCATATTTACAGTTCTCGATAAATCTCGCACATCTTACATATGGTTTCAAATATGTAATGACTCACTTTCTACTCTTGTTATGAAATATACTATTGTTGATTTTTACCTGTTGATATGATTTGAATGGTTTCAGATGCACGATGGTAAGGTACCACAAGGATTTTCTAAGAGCTACTTCAATGACCTGAAAAAACGACAGTTTGAAATGAAAGTCAGCTCCTTTTGATTCTTTACTTTATTGTAAAAACTCATCTATTGTAATTTTGTAAATAAAATATACGTTTTTGGTTCGTAAAATATTTAGTTTTGTTCCTGAAATTTTGTTAATTAGATAGGTCTATTACTATATAAAACTGACTTGAAAATCAATTTCCATCAATTGAGAAAATGTGTACGAGATATCATTTGTTAATGGTTTTTTTCTTTTTAAGTAGGGAGTGATTCTGGACTTTATATAGATTTTTTGCCAAATAAATGACCAAAACTATGTTGTGAGTCCTGGTTTAAAGATTGCCTTGATAGTTTTTTGAATGAATGGTACTCCTAGACATGAGATAGGTCTACAATTTGTACAGTATCTTTGCTGGTAATCGTTTATACAGGATTTTAGTTTATAAATTTATCCAAAAGTGAAGAAAGCTATACAATGTTGTTTTGTTTCAGTTTTTAAACATTTGATTGTAATTTGGTTAAATAATTCTGAACTTCAAGACAATTACTCTGTCCAACAAATTAGAAAAGTCAAAGTATGTGAATTTGTTTCTTAAATTAGCTTTATAAAAATTAGGCCTCTCTTGGATTTTGAGGTTAGGGATTACGGTACCACATTAGGAAATCAAATACTTGTAAATCAAAACTTAGTGATAAAAAATATTAAAAATTCATACTTCCATATAAGTGCTACCAAAATACTAAATTTGAACCTATAATCGAAAACAGTGGGGTTTAAATCAAACTACTATTTCAAAAGAATTTATTTATAACTAAAAAAGATGGTAAGTATAACATACAATAAGCTGACGATTCAAATCCAACATTAATGTTTAAAACAAAATATATTATAAATTAATATCTCGATACACAATATGGTATAACCGGGAATTATGTACAATTTCGTCACGAGTATGGCGCAGATGGATCGTATACTCGAAGTGCATCAGATGATTTCTACAAATGCACAGTGCAGTAGGCACTGACTGCCTGATGCCTCACTACAGCCCCAAAGATTCACAAGTTCTGTACAAGATTGCTTAGGAAGTTTAACCGAAGTTGATCGCTTTGCCGAAGTAAGCTGCTAGATGCGCCTCTCTCAAGGCTTCGGAACAAGTCTGCAACAAAATGAGTTATAAGTAAACATTAAACCATGAGGTTAAGTCGTTTACACACAGAAGTAAAACAGAGAAAACTTCCTCATGGGAAGACTGTGCGCTTTCAAGTCTAGCATATTGTGACGAGCTAGGAAGAGCCTGAGCCGCAAGCACTGTGCGGAAATTTCTATGGCTTGGTCAGTACGACAGACTGCAAAGCCAGGTTAGAATGTCTTTCTTCGCATCTCAGTGCATTCATTTCGAATTTATCATAATGCTCTACAGCTCATCCCTGGTTTTGCCTGATAGGTTTCACACAGGAGCCCGAAGTCGAAGCAGACAGACACATTCAAGGATAAAAGAGATCATTAACCTGTTTAGTAAGAAAATTTAAACTTACCGGGTGGGCGTGACACACTCTGGCTACGTCTTCTGCAGATGCTCCGTACTCCATTGCCAACACGGCCTCGTTGATCAGCTCTCCAGCTCCCTGAAACAAATTACGTGTCAAGCACAACACAAGAGCTCAAGTGCTGTGGTGTTAGCTTAACTTAAAGACATTACCTGTTAATTGATGTAATAATCTTATTTATCACTTGGTGTGCATATTTTAAGCCGAGAATGCACAATGAGATTAGAAAAGAGTAGATAATGTGTGTATCGTTAGACATAAGTAAGCAACAGTTTGTTAAGTTGTGACAATGAATTGAAATCCTAACAATACGACAACAGGGTCCAGTTCCAAAACCATCAAAAAGCTTAAGATTTTCTTTAGGATCACACCCAACTGTTTATATCAGGCTCACGCCATATAACTACACGGGAATTCATCTGTACCGATTCAACTATTCATGTATCATGTTAATAAAAAAATACAATCATTAATTGGCACAAAGTACTAGGCTTTTCAGCTAGCTAGTCAACATGCTTTAACTTTTAAGACTTAAAAATGTTGAAAAAAATTATAATTATGACCTCACAAAACCAAAACATTTTGGACAGAGCCATTCTAGAAAGCCAATTTTCCAAATAATCAATGTCTTTTATTCAAAGGTATATTTTGGAATTGAGTATTCTGCATAATATTCGAGCCCAACCCTTAAAATCAACTGGCAAATGTAGGTCAGGATGTCAAAACAACACCAAAGTTCAAGGTCTGACCTTCGCAGTCTTGGCCAGTGAGGTAAATATCTTCCACTGTAACAGGCATAGAATTTTTATTGTCATCCCAAGCACTCTGATCAACCTCAGTAGAGTTAAGTTAGGTGCAGTAAAATGAAATACTTACAGGTCCGATGATATGGACGCCCAGGATCTTGTCGGTCAGTTTGTCAGCGAGCACCTTGACAAATCCATCTGTTTCGTTGTTCGTCTTCGCTCTGCTGTTGGCAGCGAACGGGAACTTTCCTATTTTGAAGTCAACACCCTGAAAGAAAAATGTCTTTAGCCTACTTGCATAGAATGCTGTTACATTCTTGGACCTTGTCAAATTAAAATGTTGTACGGTTAAAAAAACTAAATAAATGAGATAACTAACTAAGTAAGAATAATCAGTAAATTTGAGGTTTCAGTTAATCCACATACATTCTCAGCAGTTAATCCACATACATTCTCATTCTCACAGTTAAAATACAATTTGTACAGTTAATGTTACAACTTTACATTTTATCGATTAAACCGGAAAATGACTAACAAAGTACTTTTAGTTGATGGTAAAATCTTACAGTTATCGATCAAACTCCTACAGACAATGATACACTTCTTACACTTAATTCTTATTTTCTCAAGTATGTAATAATAACATCTTACAGTAGTTGTCAATGCCATCTTACATCATTCTTGAGGTCCTCTTCAGTACGGCCGACCCAGCCGACCTCGGGATGAGTGTAGATGACGGAGGGAACACAGTTGTAGTCTATGTGCACTGGACCTCCCGCAATACCTGTAGTAGAGTATTGAACAATCAGCCTCCACAATATAACGTATTATACCAACCACACCGATAAATCGACTTAAGATTTTACAAATAAGATTTTAGTTTAAAAAACAAAATCTTCCTAACCCAACCTAACCTAAAACATAGTCTACCCTTAGGCTAGATTAGGTAAATTATTAGTGTAGTCGGTATAATACCTAAGTATGACAATTTTATTTATTTATATGAAGAAAGTATTGTTTTTATCAACATTTTAGAGTTTGTTTTTTGGGTGGAGGTATCCGTTTTGGTCCCCCTGAATCAAAAAAAGTGGTTTTCGAAGTTATGTCTGTATGTGTGTGAATATGTACACTGTACTAAAAATACCTGTAATTTTTTTTACGTAGAAAGTCATGATATCTCTAGATATAACAAAAACCAGAACCTTGGGAATTGAAGTCCCACACTCTGACACTGGACTCGTTCTCTCATTAAAAATACTAGCAGCTAAGAGCACTCCAAATATAGAACACTACACTAAATTCTATAAGTGTTTGACATTTTTTAGCTAAGATTTTGATATTGTAGGTTATGTGGATTCTCTAACCTAAGGTTTGAACTACACCTGTAGACATTCGATACTCATGTTCAATTTGTTATAGAATGAAAATAAACATAGCTGAATTAAGCCACTAAACGCATACAAGTTTTTTTTTTCAACCATGCTACAAAAAAATAAAGCTTCTCTAAAAAAATAAGAGCTAAGAAAAATGAAGACACTTTGAACCAAGGCCACACTAAAAAAAACATGCCGTAATGCTTGCAAGCATGACGTCACGATAGAAGACGGCAACGACGTAATGTTTGCCGTTTGTGATCAGCTGCTTGTTTTAATCTTTCCTTGGAAAATAAATAAATAAATACCTACGTCATTGCCGTCTTCCATCGTGACGTCATGCTTGACGAGCATTACGGCCTGTTTTTTTGTGACCTTGTTTGAACGCGTTTATTCCAAAAGTCAAATTGATTTTTTTAAATCAAAATCTTCTAAATTAAACATTATATTGCCTTACAAAAAATTACTACAGTATCTTAAGCTTTGAATTATTTCAGCAATAAAAATGTAATCGTAACTAAATTGCAAGATATAAAAGCTAGCAAAGTTATCTTTGTGATGGAGAATATTTTATATTACCTTCTACACATACAATTCCTTCGTCTTCTGCCTTATGTGCCAACATGGGTCCGTGAATGCAGTCGCCGATTGCGAAAATGCTGCAACATTGATTTGGTTTAGCTTCCAATCAAAATTAATGAATTTCTAGTACTAAGATTGATTGTATGGTATAATTGTATAGTATTGATTGTTTGAAAATAAATTAGGTTATAGATGTTTCTCAAACTCTACAATTCACCATTTTGGTTTATTATCTCGGCACACCAAGTACACATCTGCAAAATGTATTGGCTCAAACTAAACCTTTATCCTGATTTATCTTTCCCCGATGTATACTAATTAAATGTATTGTTTTCTTTAGGGATGTTTTTTATTTTGACTAAGCCTACTATAAAATTCTCTGAGAGGTTATCTTTGAGATTTTCCAGTATTTACTGGGTTTGTGAACTAACCTTGTTATGATTTAGGTACTTCAAAACCTGAGGACAGGATCAGAATCCAGATCCTAAAACGTTGTGAAAAGACAATCTGCAATAATTCCTAATTCATAAACTCGTCATAACCAAAAGTGAACGAAGGTTTGCAGTTAATTCTCTCACCTGGGAATGACAGTCTGGAAGCGTGAGTTGACTGGTATTCTTCCCTTCTGGTCTCGCTCAATACCAATATCTTCCAGCCCAAGGTTGTGTGTGTATGGTCGTCTACCAACGCACACTAGCAACACATCGCAGTCCAGCTGGAAAACAATGTGTTGCTCATTTTAAAATGTAATGTGAAATATACAACCTATAGCGTCAACAATGCAATGGACGGTTAAACTTGTATTCGTTTTAAGGCAGAGTAGGCAAAAAAGACCATATCCAAACAAAAGCTAATCGAGATTTATCATCTCTATGAACCATCTGATGATTTAAGATATTTCTTTTAAAAATTGCCAAAATATTAGGGCCAAATAAATAGAACGACTTTTTGTGATAATGTAGCTTGTTCTTTGGCATTATTAACACTGTAAATTTCATATAAAAAAGCAGATTGAAAAGCAGTCAAAATCAAATAACATTTAGGATGACAAGTCTACTTGAAATATTCAAATTCAACAATCTCATTGGTTAAGCTAGTTCTGTATAAACAAATACATAGGATGTTACAACATCAAAGACGAGATGAATGACATTTTTTAAATATTGACTTTAAAAGTTCAATATTTACATGTTTCAAATCCTGTTCATAATTATTGTTTATTTAATTTAGAACTTAACTAAAAAGCAAGAGAATAAGTAAGCCTAGTGTTTTAAGAAGTGAGAAGAAAGGATTCATGATTTATGGTGTCACAGTAAAATATCATCCTAATGCCCAATATTACTGTAAATATTATATACATGGTGTTTTAGAATGCTCACCTACATATTTTGGGCATTATTTCTGGGAACCAAATATACATTTATAGATAAATAAACTGTTTGAAAGAACCAAGCTAATAACTGAACCACAATTAATTAAGGTTTTTGTCAAATAAAATCTACAGTTTCCCATTGCACAATCTTTAAGGAATTTCTCAAAGACTTTTGTCAGGAAATATTCAAAGAGTTTTCACATCTCATTTTGAAATTGTGGTGGTTTCAAAATAATAAATGGACATAACAAGTTGACAAAACAAATTACAGAAAAAAAGCAAAGAGTAAAAATTTTTGGATGGTTTAATTACCGTACAACAATTCAGGGATAACTTACTTATATCAAAATACTAAAATAGTTTTGAAATAGTAAAAATGCAAATGTAATGCTTAACAATATAAATTTATCCTAACTTTTCCGTAGTTTTACCCAGAAATAATGCCCAAAAATATTGACAGAGTTTCGAAAACCGTGTGGATTACATGAATAAAGCCAACTGTTACAAATACTGAGTGCACAGAAATAATTTACATGAAAACACAACGATTAAGTGAATGAAAGCCAATCAAGAATAACTATTATGAAAACTTTAAAAATTTGAAAGTTTGCCAGGCAAGTATCTGAACACAAGACATGTGAATACCTCGGTTTGAGAAGATGTCTCTTTCGAGCTCTCACTATCGGATCGGAAGGCACCAAACAGTGTTTGTAACAGTCCCGTTTGAGCGCGCTACACAAAACACGATAGTATCAGCGCAACATTTGATTAATCTTGTAGCATTTAGTACTTGTACCTACTAATTTAAACTTTTAAGTTAGATTCATCCACAATAAAAATAATTTGTGTAAATCACTGTAATACAGGAATACAGGTAAGGTAGTCCTCAAAAAAGTCACCGGTTTAATGAGTAAAGTAGCTATTTGATCATTGGGACTTTCAAATTATTAAGAAAAATGATGATGAGAGAAAAAGAAATAGATCTTAGTTTGCTGTTTAATGATATCAGGACTTTGCCCAAGCAGACTTGAGAAATTCAATGTAGGTATCTTGATTAGGATTAGAAAAGATTTATTTATTTTTATCACAAATATATGCTTCCAAAATCAAATCAGTTGCATAATTGCTGTTTTAACTGCTACAAGTAAGGTTGGGCATGAATTTTCAGTGTTGCGAATTAGCTGACTCCAACAAGATATAAAATACATTAACTAAAAACTAAGTTTTCCCCAAGAACAAGAACCAATATAATTATAGTAGCATAACTGATTTACCAAGGGTTTATCAGACCTAGCATGCTAACCATTATACAAAATAATTTGTTTTCTGGTAGGTTCACCAATTTCAAAGAAGAACCATGCATGACCAATGCATTGGAAAAAGTTCTTAAGCCAAAGCAAAATAACTTAGTCCATAGTTGGCGGCCTTCGATGATTCTTCTTTTCAATGCACAACCCTCCACAAAGATTGAATAAGCAAACCAATTAATGCACAAGTTACCCATAAAAATATTCACATAATTAAATACTCCAACCCATATCAATTGCGTCCCATGCCATTAGTTGCCCTCTCACCAACCAGCCACAAGGTCTTTTGTATCAAAAACTCCATCAGACCCTAAACAGCCGATTTACCCTTTTTTCAAAGAATTACCATGGAAAAATTCATTTAAAAAAGCATATTACGATTCAATTTGAGGGAAAAGGTTTAATTTGTTATCCAGAACATAACTTACCTCTTCTTTCTTAGCTGCGTCTTTAACGTTTTCCACACTGACTTTGATGGTAGAGCCTTCCTTCCGTGCACCCATAACCTTAGTTCCCAGCTTGAAGTTCATTCCTGGAATCCAATTATGGGATTTTAATGTTAGAGGCAGTTTATTATGGGGAAGAATCTATTTGTAACCATTGATATGCAATAGAGATATTATAAAACAAATAGCCTATTTCTTGAAAATCAATGATCTTGCGTACCCTGCTTGCCGAGAATCCTTTGGAACTGTTTGGCAACCTCTCCATCAATACCAACTCCACCAATGGTGTTAAGGAACTCCACAGCAGTGACCTGAGATCCCAGTCTGCCCCACACTGAACCCTGCAGACGAAAAAACAATCTAGTACTGTAGTTTTTTATATTGCACATATAAATTTACATTGAATGACTTCAACTAAAAACTAGACTGATGCATAAATAAACTTGCTTTTACAAGTATGCACAAGTAGATCACACAAATAAGAAGCAGTCTGTTTTCATTAGGTAAAAATATAAATAAATTGATACAATGTCAGTATCCAACAGTCAATGGTTTAAGTCCATGGATAAGAAAAGAGTTCATGGTACTTTCGTATTATATGGAGGCCACTTATTTAACAGTGCGCTGCGGCGGTTATGTTAGGTTGGGTTATCGTATGTTTGTAGGACTTTCGTTTCATTATGAATCGAATGATACCAGATGAGTCACAAAAAATGTATGATAACCCAACCTTACATAACCGCCGCAGCGCACTGTACAAGGGTGGCCTCCGTATAATACGAAAGTACCGAGTCCATCAAAGGAATAGACAAGTTTTATTTTAATTCCAGAAAATTTTGTAATTTTTCTTTAAATTTTGTGTTATTTTCTTTTTTTTTGTGTATTTAGGTAAATGCTTTCACTACATAAATTGGATTCTTTATATAAAAAGTTAATTTATGATGAAATGGAATAGTTGAATTTTTTATGTCTGGCCTATTGTACATGTGGCTTTTAAATTTAAAATTTGCCTGAATAATTTTTTGCGATATAATAGACGTAGGCCCAAGATAAACTTTCCATAAACTTTAAAAATATGTAGTTCTTTGAATTCATTGTTTGATGTTATGTTTGCACAATTTTCTTCATTATAATACCTCTATTTCATTGTAGGTCTACTCGTAATAGCCCATTTTTGCAGTTTTAGTGTACTTTCATTTGATTTTGTGGTACCATAGAAAAATAACCCATAAGCTAAAGAATGAATATTTATGAAATAAATATGAATGTTTTTGTATGTTATGTATTACAAAAGGATGATATCCTAGAACGTGACTATATTACAGAACCTAAATTTGATTCGATTTGAGTAGGTTTACTTGATTTTACTTAGCCTACAACTAGCAAAGTGTGATTTTAACCACACAAAATTTCTTTAGGCACAGCAAAGTTCCTTAGCTGCTTGTTTAATTATATAATCACAAAAAACTTACCAGTTCCAAACCAATAACTCCTGCTCCAATCACAACCATCTTCTCAGGGACTTTCTTCAGTGAAAGCGCTCCAGTCGACGACACTACAGTCTCTTCATCAATCTGGAAAACATACAAAAATACATGATCCAATAATGATTTTCCCGAAACGAAAAAAGAATCACTATAGAAATCAGGAGAAAAATCAGTTCTTCGAATCATAGTGGTCCCAGCCCCCGGTTAATCTGGGGTTTCTTTAAATTTTTGGCCCTTCGGAACTCGCCAGGTGAATGATGTTAGAACATCTTATAATGGCTGAAGTCCCATTAATCAATGTTCAGAATTTGAAATGTTATTCAAGATGACAAGGGTTAAAGGTTCTTTTGATCAGACTTAAAATTGGAGCAATGCAACTTCAAAACCTAACATCCGTAGGTTAAAGTAGATGGATACATGACAGCAATGTAGGCATAATCTACTGATTCTTATGTCTTGTAATGCTTTACACTTCTCTATCACACTTGACCATTGTTGATAGACAAATCCTAAGCTCGAAAGATGCCACTAATCTCTGATTTTTTCCTACCAGATTTAAAATTTGTTGAATATATCCTAGGTGTTCTACCGTGACAGCTAGAAGGTGAGGTAGAAGGTACCCTGAGTCTACACAGGTTATCCCAAGATTAACTTTATGAAAGGCTACTAATAAATACAAAACCAAATGCAGTAAACAACTTTGAACTGTAATGGACCTATATTACCTCGATTCCTGGGAAGGGCGTGACTTCCGAGCCTGTCGCTATCAGAATATTCTTCGCTTTAACTACCTCACTGCTGCCGTCAGCCTTGATGGCTGTGACCTCGTTGGGGCCTGTGATCTTTCCATGGCCACTTATCTGAGTAACCTGGAGAAAGATAAAACATTTGCTGAGAACAATTTCAAAACTCGGAACTACTTCTAAACACTCAATGTTTTGATGGAAAATTGTCGGTCTGAGTTAAGCATATCAATTATTTAAGATAGTACAAGTAGTTAAGTAAGTAGTTAGTATAAGTAGTAGTTAAGTATTTAAGGTAGTATTTAAGATAGTACTAAATAAGGCTTTGTTGGTGCGGCCAAATATCTTCTTAGATATGCATGGCCCTGGGAGTAAGAGTAAGTAAGTAAGAGTATTTAAGATAGTATGTGTGCGTATTTTAACTCAAATATGAGTAAAAGATATTAGATGAGATAGCCCTAGGCTACATTTAACTAAACAACAGAAAAGTTTGACCTAGCCTACCTTGTTTGACTTGAAGAGGCTAGCAATACCACCGGTGAGCGCTTTCACAGCTGTTCGCTTGGCGTCCATCATTGTCTCAAGGTTCAGAGTTACTCCAGAAACTAAAAAAAAAAAACAATAAAATTATGCTTATGCATTCAATGTACATTACGACATTACCCTCTTAATGCACTCACTTATGCATTTCATGTAGATTACATTTATTAAACCCTATTAATGTAATCACAGAACTGTAAGCTTCAGTGTGAGCATCATATAGGCCAATTTATTTATTTATTTATTGAGTTACATGTCAGTACATCATAATAACAGGACATATTGTCAATGGTTAAATAAAGACTTACAACTAATAGAAAAAAACGAATACATCTGTATTTACACAATACCCCCGCCGCAGCAAACCTGCAGACTAAGCGAATTTCCATTTGATTTACACTGAAATGTCTACTTAAAAATATAACTTTTATTCCCGATTTAAATAGAATTAGTTTAACAAGTACTTAGGTTTGCTGCATCAGGGAGGTAAAACTGTTTTTTTTTTATCTTAATAGTTAGTAAGAAATAAAAACATTTTTCAAATTTGATCAAAATATGTTCATAAACAAGCAAACTACAACAGTTTACTTATTCTCCATAAGAATAACATGAGAATTTTAAATTTACAATTTTTTGGAATTTTCTCCGTAACCATTAGGACGCGTTGCAGAAAGTCAACAGTCCCGGAAGGTCAAATAATTTATACCTGTGCCGCTAGGTCAAAAACTACAATGTTTGCAGTGTCTGTAGATCAAAAATCCCAGTAAGTCAAATAGTACAGTCCGAGCTAAAAACGTGGTCTATGTTAAAGCAATTGACTTATTGGGAATTTGACCTAATGCAACAGCAGTTTTAATATAACGAAATAAGATAAAATATAAGTTCAGTTTCGCTGAGTCAACAGTGCCGGAAGGTCAAAAGTATAATCTGTTAAAAACAGCGATAGTCCTCTCGACGCATGACTTCAATAATTTCGTGTTTTGGTGTACCTAAAGTTGTGCTAAAATTTTGAAAATTGGCACAGAGCTTCTTGGTTAGTCCTACTCGATGACTGTTTTGTTGGAACTTTAAACTATTTACCTATCTAATTAATACAAATTGATATGTATGGTGAAATAGTTTTAAATCGTGATTTCTAGCATGAAAAAGTTAGCATGCGAGATTTTTTTTTGTTTTTGGGTTAAGGAGGTTTTGTCTGCGGCAAAGTTGTAGCCAAAAGTGTGATGCGTAAAATATATTTTTTTGATTTTTAACAATCAGTGGTTCAATAGATAACTTGGGTTGAAGAGGACGGCAAATTTAACATTTCGCAACGCATGGAAAGAACTACATCGTACGATGCGACTGCTGAGTGGACTTTTAATTTACAGTTCTAAGAACAAGAAAAAGATGAATATACAGATCACCAGTACATTCATATTATTTATAAAACATCTTTCTGTATTACCAGCTTACATTTTTCACTTATAAGAATACATCATAAACAGGGTGTTAAAAATAAGCGGGGAGATACTTTACCTAGTAATTCCTTGGGTCAAAATAAACAGAAAATGAAGGATAACATTTTTTCCAAAATCGTTTCGTTAACCAGATATCCGCCATTTTGTATTTTTTACATACAAATATTTATCTTTACACTTTTCCAACCGATGTTTATGAAACTTGGTATGTATCCAACTTGGTATGTAGGTAGGAGAGACCCATGTTATAAAAAAAGATTCATCTCGATTCACCCTAAAATTTCAAAATTTAACACTTAACTACAATATAATATACTTTACTACACCATAATATTTACGTATCACCATAAATCTTTAATAAAATAAAACGTTCACATTTTTAAAATCCAAAGTAAATCAATATAATCATATAATCAATATAAAAAAGTGCACTAGTACTTACTAGTGTCCAATAACAATTTGATGGATTTAACCAAAACCTTTTCTATTTAACTTATTTTCAGCTGTTAAATTTCAAACGATACGTTTTAGCTACATCATTAACATTATTATCATCATCATCGTTTGAGTTTAGGTTTGCGGCAATGTATTTTTATAATTAAAACTTTTAATTTGATACCTACCAAACTTGACCTCTGCTGCTATTAATTGACTGTATGGACTATTAATTAACAGCTGTGTCTAAGGATTACGTCGGCCTTAGTCACTAACAGGACAACAAGATCGCTCCACTCATCACACACTCAACTCCATTCATACTTGGCTTAAAATGCATACATTTGTATGGTCGCCATTTCAAAAACAGGTAAAATAGTATTAAAATTATATATGAATTTTGTCTTAGTCTTTGTGGTCCATCCCCCTTAAGGGATTAAACAGTGATAATAGCTTAAGACAGTAGATATTTATGGCTATTATATTATTGATATACCAAGTCTCACTACTTTATCTATATTGTTAAAAAAATATAGCCAATCCAGGACTTTTCAACCATACTGTATAACGCCAACACGAAATTTGTCCGTTGAACTCCTCCGAATTTCTTAGGTGATTTTGACCATTCATGTCTCTAGAAAGAGCGTGTCACGTACATTTGCAAACCAACCTTACATTTTTAAATCCCTTGGGCTCAGCCCCAGCGGCTCATGTTATGAACCCATGTTATGCCTATGAAGAACATATTGATTTATTTATATTAGGATCAGCCCAGTTAATTGCTGTTATGCAATTCAAGGAAATAATGTAGGTTACATTATTAACATGTTACTGATTTGTTTCAAATACTATATTTACTATTTTTATTTGGGTTTGCAGGATAATTTAATCCATTTTACCAAACAATAAAATTAATGGACAAAGTACTATATTTCATGAGCTATCATTGAAAGGACCGATTGAAGTCCTCATCAACCAAAATAATGCCTACTAAAGCAATTAAAATTGAGACGAACATGTAATGCACGAAATCAGGTGGTTCTTAAGTATGTGAAAAAATGTATCGCTATTCAAAAACAGACGGAAAACTTGTAACCATATTCTTGACAACGGGTGTAACCATGTAACATGGCTACATTATCAATGACAAACGTGGACAACCTTATACGAGTGTGAGTACGTCCGAAAACGGAGTAAGTCCGAAAACAACTCTAAAAAACAATAAGCAATAAATTGCAAGAACCGTTGCTTATGTCATTGGGTACGGTATACACGTATCCACTGACAGGTATACTCAATGCTTATATCGAACTGTTATATGTACATCGTGAGTTGTTCCATTAGTTGTTTCATTTAGTTGTGTGTCCATTAGTATAGTAGTTTAGTTGACTCTTTTAAAGTCGGCGGAAATTGTGACTGTTATTACCCTTGAAATAATGTTTGTGAAGTACTTTGCAATCCTATCAATGCTTATAGGCCTAGAATCATACGATTACAATTTTCTGGTTAGAATATGTCGCATAGAGTGGTGACTAATGTATCTTTTTGGTTTGCTTGTAAAACAGGATCAACAGAGATTTTCCATCGACTTAAACAATACGATACTCCCAAATTGTTCATTGCAATAACAAAATATCACACAGTTTGATGAATATTTGTGTGTAAACCACATACAGTACACCTTTATTCTATCTATTTTACCTTTTATTTTTCCAAGACTTTATAGAAAATCACGCATTACGTGATCAGTGAAGAAAAGGCTGTATCCCATGTGTTTTATAGGTAAAGAAGACAAGGGCGCTCCTAGACATATATTTGGGGGGGGGGGTCACCAGGGGCCTGGGGGGTATGGAATACCCCCCAAAAAGGAGGGGGTCCTGGGGTTCCCCCCGGGAAAAACGTATAAATAAATAAATATAGGCTATACAGGGTGAAGGAGGCCACCATTGGAATATCGGAAACGGTAAGAATTAGAGAAAACCTAAAATGGAGGACATTCCTTCATTTTTTTTGGCAGTTTAAAATATGATTTTAGTCGTTTGAAATTCAGCCACCATTTTCCAAAATGGCGGCCAAATTTGAAATTTCTTACCGAGCACCCTATATTTTATCATGTTTTCGGACATAATAGGCAATTTTAAAACTTTTTTATCCTTGACATTTTTTCGATAAACCCACTCGTTTAGGAGTTACAGCCTATGGAAAAATGACTTCCGGTGTAGGCTACTTATTAAATCATGTAGCTCCTAAACAAGTAAGTTTAAAGCAAAAATACGAGGAGTAAAAAAGTCTTACAATTGCATCCACATTCCAAAAAGACCATAAAACTAATTAAAAATATAAATTATATTATTTAAAAAAATGGCGGCAAACTTGAAAAGTGGAAAACTTTTTATTTTATAGTCTTTAAGGAATGAAGATGCAATTCTAAGACTAATATACTTTTTGCAATTTTGCTCTAAACTTACTCGTTTAGGAGCTACATGATGTAAAATGTACACCGGAAGTCATTTTTCCATAGGCTGTACTCCTAAACGAGTGGGTTTATCGAAAAAGTGTCAAGGCTAAAAAAGTTTTTAAATTGCATATTCTATCCGAAAACATGATAAAAAACTAAAATCATATTTTTAACTGCCACAAAAAATAAAGGAATGTCCCCCATTTAATGTTTTCTCTAATTCTTACCGTTTCCGACTTCCCAATGGTGGCCTCTTTGAGTTGATATTACATTCAACCAGCCGTTAGTTAAAACAAATTATATGGGACTAAAACAAATCGATGATTACAAAGATTCCTTTAAAAAATAATTTGAACATCCTACTATTTTTCTATGCAAATTTAAATAATCTGCCATCCTCATACCTAGGAATTGAATGTATCAATGGTCAGCATTACACATAGAATAAATAAGTCAACTCTAAATATGTCTTTAAATTTGTTTCCAAATGCTGAATTTGTGTCACAAATGCTGAATGTTTACAGCTGTTATGCTAAGCAAATTATATTGTACTAAAAGCTGGCTTAGAAGGTTAGCGTCGGCTGCTAGACTTTAAAAAAATTAAAACTTAATTTCTAAAAAACTGGGACCCTTAGTTATAATTATGGCTTTGACATTCCCTAGTTCTCAAAATTATCTTTCTTTCAACACAAAAATAATGAAAATCCGTCGACTGGTTGATACAGAATGTGAAAAAACCATATTTACGTTTTAATAATATATATGATAGTTTGAACAGGTTTCAACCCTTCCGAGGCGTAATAAATTTACACAGTTTATGTGTAGACTACATTATAACTTATAAAATAGTTCAAAAATTAAATGGATCTCCTTTTACAAACGTATATAATAACCAGAAATTTTCAGATCGTCCTTGCGTGTATTTTATGCCACAAATTTTGACGAAAGGCTTTTCATTACATAAACTATACCTATTTACAGTGTTGACCAAACAGTTGGCAAGACGCATTAATAGATAAGCTATGTACCAAATATGATAATTTTAGCTCTATTCTAATTATGACAAAACACGAAGTAACTAAAAGCAAGTTTTGTTGGTGTAGTAAGCGTTGCAGGAGGTCTACTTTACACTGAATCGACGTTCACTTTTATTGCTTTTGATCTTCCGGCACTGTTGACTCAGCGAAACTGAACTTGTATTTTACCGTATTTCGTTATATTAAAACTGCTGTTGCATTAGGTCAAATTCCCAATAAGTCAATTGCTTTAACATAGACCACGTTTTTAGCTCGGACTGTACTATTTGACTTACTGGGACTTTTGATCTACAGACACTGCAAACATTGTAGTTTTTGACCTAGCGGCACAGGTATAACTTATTTGATCTTCCGGGACTGTTGATTTTCAGCAACATTCCCAACCATTAGGCGCATAATAACGCTTCAATATACTAAATTATTTGTTTTTTTAAGCTCTACAAAATGGTTTGGAAATAAATTGCTAAATTTTATGTTTTTTGGGTCAAAAATGCGAAAAACCTATTTTTACCCCATAAAACCCCCCGTAAACCCCCGTTCCCATGGTCCGATCATGCTGGATTGCGAACTCGTTCGAATAAACGTAGGTTTACACGTTTGTACCGAATTTCATCAAAATCGGATCATTTTTGCTCGAGTTATCGTGCTAACGGACACACACATATATATATATATATATATATATATATATATATATATATATATAAATATATAAATATATAAATATATATATATATATGAATTTGAACGGATGGTGTTTTTGGTCTCTAGGGACCTCGAAACGAAAAAAAAAATCGGTCCTGCGTCCAGGTCTTATGAGTACTACGGTAATAGCTTATTCCCTATATGGGAAATTCGCTAATATTCCCTATATGGGAAATTCGCTAAAATCAACAGAATCTTCCCAAATATTTATAATGACATTTTTCGGAATAATGTCATACCAGAAAGCTTTAAGAAATCGATAATTTTTCCATTGTTTAAAAAGGGTGATATTAATTCAGTTCAAAATTATAGAGGATTGTCTTTTATAAATTGTATTGGTAAAATATTTATAGGAATGCTAAATAATAGACTTAGAAATTGGGTCAATGAAAACCACATCTTATCGGAGTTCCAGGCGGGTTTCAGACAAAACTATTCCACTATAGATAATATTTTTAATTTGGAATTGATGATCAAACTACGTTTAGCGGAGAAAGGTGGCAAATTGTATGCATTTTTTGTGGATTTTTCAAGTGCGTTCGCACTATTGATAGAAGATCACTAATATTAAAACTTTCATCAATCGGCGTATCAACGCACGTTTTAGATTTTTTGAGGAGTTATTATTGTAACACACCTGCAGCGGTTTGGTGTAAGGGCGGCATTTCAGATGAGTTTGAGACAAAGACAGGTTTAAGACAAGGATGTATGGGAAGTCCTCTCCTGTTCAGCTTATTCGTAAATGATTTGCCAGAGGTGCTGGAAGGTGGCTGTAATTTCGGTGGAAAGAGAGTAAATGTTTTGATGTATGCAGACGACATCGTATTGTTGGCCCCCACAGCAACAGTGTTACAAATGATGATTAAAAACTTGGAGTGTTACAGTGCAATTTGGAACCTTACAGTAAATCTATCTAAATCCAAAATAATGGTTTTTAGGAAAGGTGGTAGATTATCGGGACATGATAGAATGATGGTGGTATAAGGGCAAACAGGTTGAAGTGGTAGATAGTTATAAATATTTGGGAATGTTGTTTACAACGACATTGTCATGGGAAAAACATTTCATAGAGAAGAGGAGGCTAACTAATTATGCAATTAATTCAGTATGGCAAAGGCTAGTAGACAACAACAAAGTCCCGCTGCATATTAAGATATTATGTTTCGAATCTATTCTCAGAGCTATTTTGTGTTACGGCGCACAAGTTTGGGGGTTTTCAGAAATTTCTCAGTTAGAAAATGCTCAGAAAACGTTTATTAAAAGGATGTTTAGATTGCCACATAACACTCCCAACTATATTGTTTACTTAGAAACATGTTTTGAAAAGTTGTATTTCTTTAATCTACAAATTAACGCAACATACATTTTTAAGGTTTTTAATATGCCAGAATCACGCCTACCAAAAATTATTGCTAAATCTGTAATTGGAAAAGGTATTTTTTGGGCCAAAGAGTGGAAATGTCTAGGGCGAAAACACGGTTTGGATATTAATTTCGAGTCAGCAGATGTTTTTGAGGGATTAGTGAAGATAATTGAGGCGGAAAGAGATAGCTGGAGAATTGATATGGTTGGCAGAGCGCGTACATCGCAATATCACCAACAACTGCTTGCCGTTGACCTTGACCTAGGGCCCAGGAGTTTTCTCACTGATAGCATCAATATAAATCTTATCTCATGGGTCATTAAGGCCCGAGCCGAGCTGGTTGATTTGAATCACAAGCCATGGATAACAAATAAAAATCATGTTTGAAGACTGTGCAATTTGCGCGAATTTGAAACAGTTTTTCATTTTGTTTCTACCTAAAACCTAATAATTTTAAAAGTAAAATAATACAAGTTATGTAAACAATATTATGAAAAAGGTTTTTTTTTTAAGTTTAGTTTAAAAATGGATGTAAAATTGTATGTACATTTGTGTAAGTATGTTATTAAGTGTATTTTGTTTCAACTTCATTTTCATAAATGTGTTTTCCAGGTGTGTCAACCAAACAGACGGTCGTAGACCATTGTTTATTAAGTGTTTGATTATGTTTATGAGGGGAATGTTTATTTTAAAATAAAGCACTTTATTCATTCATTCATTCATTCATTCAATAAGAGGTACTAACTAGGGTACCCATGGTTATATAGGTAGATTAAAGTAACTTAATAGCAAAATTACAAAACGAGGCCTAATAGAGAAGATAGGCTACCCTTAAGTCAAATTGTTCCAGCAAATTTTAAAATTGCCTAGACCTACCTTCGATGCCTCTGCCCTTGAGATCCCCGGAATGAGCCATGTGGTAGTAGTGGGAGTTGTTTAGTAGAGCTTTAGAAGGAATACACCCAACGTTGAGACAGGTTCCTCCCAAGGTTTCATTCTTTTCAATACAAACCGTCTGAAAGTACGGAAAATAAAATTAGTACAAAATTTTTCTCTGAAGAGACGTTGGTTTAAGTAACTCATATTCCAGCTAGTTGGACAGTAGGTAAAAGCTTATGAAACTGAACAATAACATATTGACGATATAGGCCTACCGTACCCCACGATTACTAGAAAAATACCGGTATGGATCATAAACATAAACAAAGTGACATTGTTGGCCCGAATCCTATACTAATAGCATTGAACATATGTTTTGGCAGTTCCATATAGGGTGACCCGGGGCAATTCTGGCAGCCAGACGTGAACCTTAACTTTAACTGCTTGTACCGCGGTGAACATATTTTTCATTTTATTTTGACAATTACCATAGTAATTCTATGTTATTCCTCTAGTGTTTTTATATATTTAGACAACAATCTCAAACTCCCCTTAAGGGGGTTTGAGGTTTTTTTTTTGGAGTGTCAGATGCCAGAATTGCCCCAACCTTGGGGCAATTATAGCAATACCTTATATTTTCCTTATTGTTTAAATTGCTCTGACATTGGGGCAATCATGGCATAGGCCTAATTTAGCTGTTTAAGATGGTGTTTTAATTTTTGTTCTATCTCTATTTATAAGGAAGTTGTGAATAAACCGGTAAGACAGTACAAGCGTACAAGGGCCTTAACCTCAAAACTTCTAGCAACAATAAACAATAAAAATAATTAGGCTGCCATAGAGTAATCTAAGCAAAAGGTGTTTACAAAGCCATCCAAATGAACTGAAATGAAACATATTACACATAACACACGTTGTTATACAATTTATTCTTTAATTTATACATTATTTGTATAAAGATATATAGCTGCCATAATTGCCCCGGGTTCTTTGCCACAATTGCCCCATAGCATATGAAAATGGGGCAATTATAGCACCCATTTAAATTTAAATATCTTAAAGGGATAACTGCTATTACTATTTTTGTTCATGAAGTTTTAAGTCTGAACAATTATCTTTGAGTATGAAAAAAAATAAAATATAAAATTCATAGGGGAAAAAAAATTAGCCGTGTGCGATGTTTCGATATCCTCGGGCTGTGGAAGAAAGTACTTTTTTAATCGCTAATAAAAATTACTGCAAACATTTTATTTTTACAAAAATGCTTTCCTATATATAGGAGGTATATGCTGAAATAACAAATATTGCTTCACTGATCTGTAAAGCTGAAATTTAAAAAAAATATAGGCCATTGCTATAATTGCCCCGTGCCAGAATTGCCCCGGGTCACCCTAAGCAATGTTAAATAATGTTTATTTCGGGCCAAAAACGTCACTTTGTTTATGTTTATGATCCATACCGGTATTTTTCTAGTAATCGTGCCGTACCCTCAATTAATGTGTTGTTGAATAAGGAACTTGTATTACTGAATGTTGGTCCAAGTCAAATGGAAAGGATAACTTTACTTAGGTAATTTATTGTGAAGTAGGCCTACGGCATCAGTGAATTTTATTTTTAACTATGACTTTAAGCATTGAGCAGTCTCTAACTTAGGCTATTTAACTAGAAGCATGATGAAAAAATTACCAAAGTGCAGGAAAAAAAATCCTATCATAACTGATTTCAAGATAAAAAGTGTTTAACCCATCCCCCTGAACCAAGGAGTGTGGACAAATTAAAGATAGAATCACAAGAAATTAACTCTGAACATAACTTAGCCTATTTACCTACTGTCTACGCCAGTGACATTTTGATTACAAAAATAACAAAATGCTTTGAAGGGAAAGCAGTAAAAATCGCTAAAAAACATTTTTATGTTTATAGGCCAGGTCTGAGACACTACCAATAGCTAGCAACGCACCTAAACAATATCACAAAATTTATGTTGTGTTCATAGAAACACTATCATTTTGAAAAATATAAACAAAGATTGTCGACTCACCTTCATCCCCAGCTGTGCCGCCTTGATAGCAGCAACATAGCCTCCCGGTCCTGAGCCGATCACAACAATATCAGCCTCATGGCTACTGGAGTACAGTCTGTGTTGTAACACTGACAAGAGTGCTGGGAAGGCGTGTGTGCGTTGAGTGCATGTTGATGGCTGGAAATAATAGGCGGTTTAGCTCTTCTGATGAATCAGAAATCCTTTATTGTCCTTAGGCAAAACGATCTTTGAATAGACATGGTAACATAGGGCTACACAGTAACCCAGTCAGACTAGATAAATAAGTTAATATCACAGACAATAACAGGTAAAAATTTAGAAGTAAAAGGAATGGGATATAGCCTAGTATACAATAACCTCAATATCCGGAGTTTTATCATGTCTCACAATGTAAATACTCTTATATAAGTACTTTTTAATTTAGTTAATGATAAGTTGTTTAGTTATAAGTTGTGATGACAATGAGCTAATAAAGTTTTCTTACCTTAGGCTATTTTAATAGAAATACCTATCTCCATCGTTCCGTAAATAGGCCTAGTCAACATTTTTTTTATAACTAGGCTAACTTAGGTTAGGCCTATTCTAATATAGGCCCTAGCCTAAATAATTTAACCAACTTATTGGCTACTTAGTTTGTTGTTATTTAATAAATTCTTAAGCCTATCTAAATTTGTAAATTATATTTTAAGCTGGATTGGGATTAATGGTTGTAATACTATTTACATTTTAGCATTTTAGGAGAAAATAATCATAGCTAAGGTCTTACATTGATAAATCGTTGACCTATCTGTGGAGATAGGCCTAGTGAATGGCTTGCAAGAAAATCGAAAATGCAAAATATTTTGACATTATAATTAGTAAATATGGTTTATTTTATATTAGTAAAGTTTAAAATGATTATATTACTTACTTTGATTGAATTGGAGATCCGGTTTAAAATGTTTGCTTGCATTTTTAACCATAAATATTCGACCTACAATCGGAAAAAGAAAGACATAAAACGAGGTAGAGAGGGAGAAGCAGACGCAGACGGCAGACTATACAACTGCAAACAGATGTTTACACATTGTCTGCCAACAGATTAGAAAAACTCACTCGCATCTGTGGTGGAAATACTATATAAAATTTTGGACCAGTAGATCAGGGGTTCTGGCATAGATTAAACATACTCCTCAATCTATGGTTTTAGGTAAGGTATGTAAAGAAATGAGAAAGTGTTCCATCAAAAAAATTAAATAATACTAACACATAAAATTATATTTCCAGAATCATAACAATACCTACGAACAAAATCTAAAATGCACACTTTGGAAGACTGTTTAAGTATAGTCATAGATAAAACATAGTCTATGGTATAGTGTATGTAACCATAGATAAAATACCCCCGCTGCAGCAAACCTGCCGACTAAGTGAATTTCCATTTGCCTGGATTTATTTTCAATTGATCTATTAAATTAACATTTATGTTTTTAATGAGTACCGGTACCTAGGTTAGCTGCTACAGGGAAACTAATAAAGTGTGTTTTTTTATGTTTTTATGTGTTTTTTATGGGAATTTTAAATTAACATTGTTTTAAATTATTTCCCCGTATAGTAACCAACCACCGTACAAAAACACTCTTGAAATACTAAATTATTTGTTTTTTAAGCTCTTTAAAAAGGTCTGGAGAAAAATTGATATATTTTGTTTTTTAAGGGTAAAAAATGAGAAAATCCCATTTTTACCCCATAAACCCCCAACGTTAAACCCCGTTCCCATGGTCCGATCATGCTGGTTCGCGCTCTTTTAAGTAGACTGATGGCCAGGAGAGAGCTTATTAATTATACAGATAGTGGTTAATAGCATAAGTAAGATTTTTTACGCCACACTACATAATTTTGACGAACTTCCCACGTAAGGATTTAGTCCAGAAAACAGCTGTTTGCCGCCAGCTTATTCAAATCATCGATCTCTATTAATAGAGATCGATGATTCAAATGGGGTTTCATTGCGTACTACTGTACTGCAATGAGTTTTCCCGGACACCAATCAGCTGATTATACTGTATTTAGGTGGCAATTAGTGGTTATAAACAAAAACATAACCTCTCTCAGAGGTTATAACTAGTGATTTTGTTTGTCCTTTAGTTGGTAGAAATATATAAGGATTTGTACGGATTAAGTAGTATAGCGTAAACTATCGTACGTAACTCGTCCAAAATGTGTGTACCGGACTCGTATGGTAATCCCGTACTCGACTTCGTCTCGCACGGGAACGACCACACTCGTCCGGTAAACACTTATTTTCAGGACTAGTAACGTAATATACTATTACATTGAATCTCCAACAAGAATTTGAGGGGTTTATGGCTTTTAATTAAAGCGGGGTTTAATTCTTCTATATATATAAAATAGCATCGGCTAGATAGGTTACTAACAAATAAAAGAAATAAATGCAATATTGGTTTTATTTTAGAAATATTTACACGACTGGTTTATTGTATTACTGTCCTGCAGGTGGCTGTGAAACAAAAGGTGATAATGGTAATCCAAGTGGGGTTTGGTAACACTCTCTGAGCTTCCTTAGAAATAGAGATGACTCTTGACAAAGGAGTGAGGATGTTCCAGCTTCAACTTTTGTTATGTCAATCCATAGAAACCTTCACAGCCTCATCCTGTCTATCCTTGATCTAAGAGTGCAGAATACTAAAACAGGGATTGTATGTGTTTTTGCCTCAGATTTGATTTTGAAGGTCTGATACAAAACCAGCAACGCTTTCTCTTAACACTATATAGTTGGTCCTGCTTGAGCTGTCAGATGCAGATTGTATTTTCCAATTAAGTTGGTGGAATCAGCAAAGCAGATCATTTAGGTCTAGATCGTTATCATACTGAACAAAGAAGACAGACCACTGATCCCTTTGAAGCCCCCGTTGGGATTATTCTGCACTTTTAAAGAGGGTCCATCAAGTTGGCTCTAACTGTTATAGTGAGGCCAACTGCTCAGTAATCAATAGTAAAACTATAAGTTTACCGTCATTAAAAGAACACAAATAAATAAAGCCGAGAAAACCGAATGGTTGACACCTACCAACTGCGTACCTATATTCATATAAAATTTCTTGGGGTGTCTAGGAAAAATATTATTTGTTGACTAAAGAAGGACACAAACCTTTATTAAACGGTTATACCTTTTACCTTTTACCTTCTGTCGTGAACTTTTACCAGAGAAGACTGGATTGTTCATGTCAATAAAAAATTAAAACATCACTTCATACATAAAATTGAATATGAAAACATTTAACTATCATTAATATTTACAGAGTACAAATGGCGAGCAGGGAGGAGAGTGAATCGGCAAAAAACTCGTCAATTGAGTAAAAAGCCATGTCCTTTAGCCACCGCACCAAGACACGTTCAAAGCGGTTTTTCTCAAGCAGTCTAACCCTAGTTGGAAGCTTATTAAACATCTTCAACGCTAAGTCCGGGAAGTGCTTTGAGGTCTTAACTAGCCTACGCCTCGGGATGTCCAGATTAGATCTGCTTCTTACGTAGTGGTCATGTATTTCGCTTCTGGTGGTGAAGGAGGCCTCATGTCGCTTAACATAAACCAGCGAAACCAGGATGTAGTTAGACGGTACGGTGAGTATGTCCAAACTCCGAAACAGGGGCCGGCAGTGATCTAGATAATCACTAGAGGTGATAATTCTCACCGCTGCCTTCTGCAGCAAAAGCAGTCTGTAGCACTCCAAAGCGTGCCCCCAAAGAAGCAGTCCATAGCTGATGTGAGAATGGAACAGGGCATGATAGACCACTGTTAGGTATTTGCGGTCAAGTAGGCTCTGAAGCTTCCGCAGCAGGAACAAGACTCTGGACAATCTCTTGGTGATCACATCAATGTGTTTATCCCAGGATAGCTTACGGTCCAGAGTGAAACCCAACAGTTTCAGAGTAACCTTTAAATCCAGAGAGAAAATAATCGTCAAAATAATTATTACAAGTGACATTACAACACTGTAATTACAACTATTGTTTTTTTTCTTTTTATTAGGGTGGTTGAGCAGGTATCTTCCTCTTTCATAAATTTTGTAGATGCATGTGTTAAAATCTTTTATTGGTCATATTTTGGGAAACAAGCAAAATACCCCTTACCTTTTGATAACTACAAAGCTATTTTTGAATGATAGGGCTGTAACAAGCATACATTTACAGCACTTATGAAAATACTTGGGGTCCATATGATTTAATGATTATAGTCAGTTGTCAAAGTGGTTATGTGAAGGCATATTAAACATTACCGTTCTCTACATAAGTTACTTTTTGTTTCTTAATCAAATTCATAGTTCATACCCTTGTTTAGTACCTATTAATGTTTTTAATATTTTTAAGTACTTCTCCTTTTTTTTGATAAAATTTTGGAAATTATGACATTGGTAAAAAATATACTGAAGCTAGTAGGAAAGGCTAAAAGGCTAAAAGGAGCTAAAAGGGGGTGTATTAGAGCAAGAACAGAGTTTGGGTTTATGGCCTGAGCCATTCCTGGCGAAGGGTCAGAAGACAGCTTCCACCATTCATACTATAGCTTTAAACATTCCCAAATGTGTAATTTGTACAATCAATAGTATATTGAAAACCACTCCTACAATGTATGGGTGAATAAAACAACATCCTAATTTATGTTGTAACGTAATTTTTATAACATAATTTTGTTATCCAATGACATAAGAATCAACAATATAGCTTTCACAATACAGTATCAACTTATTTGAATGTTAAAAATCAAAATCTCTATTATTTACAGAACTATGTTACAATATTTACATATTCGAACGTTTTTGTGCTGTTTTAATAAGACTTGTTGACAAACAATCAATTGATAAATGTATTAATATTAAGAAATATTTATAAACAGGAGACAGTGGTGTAGAGCAAGTTACAAGAACTCATAGAATACTGATTGAGACATATAAAATATGGAATGTAAATCTTAATAACAATGTAAATTCTATTACAGTTTAAAAATTAACCATATCATTCAATGTTCACATTTTCCAACATAATTTACCGCTCAATCCAGAGTCTTATAACAATTTATTCACACAAGATGAAAACATTACATTTTATTTCTGTTTATATTTTGTTGACAAAGATTAGAAGCAAAAATAATCACAGAACTTCAATATTTAATTACACAACTTTTTGTTACCGGTACTAATTTCTTAAAATATTTGATACTAAGGAGATGAAATGCATTATAATCACATCATAAAGAGGCAGAGGCAGTCTGAAAACCTCTCAGAAAAAAACACTTACAGGTTCAAATATTTTATTAGATTTTAACTATTTCCAACTCATGTGTAATTAAAAGATTCGGTGTGGTAAAAAATAATACCTAGTAATGCGTAATTTAATTATACTAAATAGGACATAATACAGTAAAATAATATAGAACTAGTTAAAATAATAATAAAATTTGATAATTTATCTAATTAAACTGCATATAACTTACACTCAGAGTTTTAATTTTCTGTTTATTTGCTGAAAAGAAAAGTTCAGATTCTTCAAGGTTAAACATTGAGATAAGATTACTTTCATAGTAGACTTCTTTCAAATCTAAAATTGAATGCTTTGACCTTTTGATAAGCATGGCATAGTAAAAATAGCCAAGGTCTTTTTACTTTGTATACATTTAATGCCAAATATGATAAAATTGTGATATTCAACGAGAACTATATTATTTTCTAGTAATAATTTTTGCAAATATTCTAATTAAAATTTCCAAATAGGTTGTTGAATAGAGAAATTTTCCCTTAAAATTTTATCTGTTACAAATGCATACATTTCTGGATAATTGATTTTAACTAAGATTATATGGTGAAAAAATCCACTTTTTCAGTTTGTAAGCTTATCCGATAGGTAGATTTTTACAATATAAGAGGTCTGTTTTATAAACCACAAAACTATTAGTACTAAAACCGAGTACACATTATTGCATAATTGACCTGTTTTTATATAAATCCATTAAACTATTTTATAATACAGCCTACCTACTATAGAGTATTTATGTTTTGATCATTTTAATAATTTAACTACTAGTGACATTTTCTTAATTCTTTATAATAATAAACATATTATTTTTATCACTACAGATAGTTTAAAACATGGAAAGGTTTTAATAAAATGTTAAAACAATTATTTCAAGGAACTGGTCTTGTGTTAAATAGATACCGATTAAATAGCAAGTTTTATTAATTTTGAATCATAATAGGTCCCGTTTCAGCCATTTAAGGACCAGTGTGTAAACAGTGGCGGATCCAGAGGGGGGGCGAGGGGGGCGACCGCCCCCCCCTCGGGCATACATATACATATATTTTTTACTGCATGTAATACAGTAGTGCATACAAATTGCGTAAAATAATTTGTCACACTAACTTTGGACAAAGAAATGGTAAAAAACTGTGATTTAGGAGACTTAGTTTACACACATTTTTCGGAGGGGTACCCCCGAACCGCCCCTGACTCCCTGGTTCGCCCCCCCCTTGTGACTGCTCTAGATCCGCCACTGTGTGTAAAGCTCCAAAACAAATACAAAAAAGGTCGATTCAATTTCAGAAATATTTTTTCCTGATTTTAGAAATCATCCTAGTGTACACTTACACTGTACATTGAATACTAGCTACAGTATCACAAATTGGAATATTTTATTTAACTCACATAGGTTTGAACTTTTAAATCAACATTTCTCACCTTGCTCCGAAATAGCACAATAACCAGTAAAATAATTCAACAAGGTAAAATTATATGCCACGACGAAACATTTGACTAGTTATGTATTCAAAAAATTAATCGTTTTTTTTATTTAATAAGCTAAAATTAAATAATTGTAAAAATTAATTGTTGAATTCTGATTGTACTCTACTCTTTTTTGTAAAATTCCCATTGTAATAAATTCCTATGTTATTATTTTATTTTGTGAGAAAAAAATAATAAAAAATAAAAATCACACTGTTGAAGGACTTAAACCCACCCTATTTTTAATTGCGCTAAATTATTTCGCTTTACTTTTGCAATTGAATATTTATCTATATTTTTGTTTAATATTTTAAAGAAAAACAACAGTTTTTCTCAATATCACATAATGATTTTCATTACAAGGCGTGTCAATATAACATTCACCGTAGTTTGTCGATGTAGTAACGTGTAAAACAGTGAATAAAATTTCATATCCGAGCATATCTTCTATCCTACTGAAATATGTACATTACATTGTAATAAGTGTCTTAGGTACATTCTATAGACTAAGATCTATAAGTGCATAAAATTTTTCAAATTCAACACATTAATAAATAGTTTTCCAAGCTAGTCTTGGTCTCATAGCACCTTAAAATTAAGGATTAAGTTGTAACAATGCGTAAAATATATTTAACTGAATTTTTTTTAGTTGTTTCACAGAGCCACTTTATTTCTCAATTTTTAAATAGTGTTTTTATTTAAATAAAATATTTAGGAGTCATAGTAGAATATTGTTATAGTTTTAGATTTTAGTTACAAACTTCCGCTTAATTAACTTTTTGGTTATCATTATAAAAATGTTTGTTTTGTTTAAGTTTTATAGTTAAATAAGTTGGTTGAAATGAATATATTCAATAATATTTTGCACAGAGAAATACCGGTTACAGACGAAACACTCAATGACACACTTCAGTGGTGTCTAGCACCAGTGCTGGTGTCTAGGGCAAAGCCCAACATCACCCCCTCGCCATCATGTACTACAACGGTGGAGGAAGACCCTGTGTCTTGTGGGATAGATATTTCTGCACAATGAACTGCTCGGGCTCTTCCTTACTGGTCACAAATATAGTTCCGGAACAACACGCTAGAGTGAAAGCGAACGGTAGTCCCATAAGCGTGTTTCCTCGGTACCTTATTTCTCTGTGTCTTTTGCCTTTGGAACTATCAAGCAGTTAATAAGTAAATAGTTTGGGATAGAATTTATTTTGAGATAGTTAAATCAAATATTTTGTAAGATCGTAAATTTTTTCACCCCAACTGTAGAAAAGTAAAATGAACTTTTGTTTTATCTTTCACTGGTTTTCTTAATCATAATGTTCGGGTTAACCACCCCCAATAAATTATCATTGGTCCCAACAAAGAATTTCCGTGCAAATTTCTATCTGTCAAAGGCTTCAAATTTTGAATACGGGTTTTCTGATGCAAACCCAGAATAGAAAAAAGGGGCCCTGGTACCACTTGAGTTGAACAAGGAATTGAAGACTACTTTTAGTAAAAATATACAATAAATAACTATTTAAATTGCAAGGCATCTAGGTATGTCTACAAGTCACTTAATTTGATACTTTAGAAAACATACATGCATTGGAGTCGCGCTTAGTATCTCACTATCCGTATGGTCTAAACCTAACTACTAGATTACCACTGGGTAGTATATACTATACAGTGAGTTTGGATAGCTGGCAGAGTTCTGGTAACGTCTATAAATTAGATTCTTTTCATTTAAGTGAATCATTTGATGCTCTTAGTAACTAGATGACTGTGGGACAAAACACTGAAACCACAGAAGTTTAAATAAGAGTTTTCTTCATATAAGATTAGTTTGAACCTCACTTTGATGTTTTGGTAAAAGTTACATCTGAAAGGGTTTCCAAATTTTCAGTTTATAAAACTCTTAATTTTGTAAAGTCACTTAATAAAATAAATTTCTTAATTTAAGTGTCAGCTTGAGGCCAGTTCAACAATATTACCACTCGGTTTTGTATAGGTCCAATATTTGGAAACCCTACAACAAACTGTTTTTAAATGATATAAATGAGTATTTCAATTGACTATAAAATTAAAACAAGCAGATTTTTTTACAAACATAATAATTGGAAGTTTGTTTTGGCTGGGAAAGAACCAAATGCCAGATTCCTTAGCTGTTTCATGGGTACACAGTAACCCACTCCATTGGTCTACAAAAATATTGCTTACCATAAAATCACATGAGTAAAAATATCAAAGAAAGAGAACAATTGCCTTCGCTCCATAACAGATATTAGTGAATGAGCGCTATATTAATGTTAAAACTCTATACATGGCAAAGTGGAACAATTCCACCAGTTCGCGCAACTTATAAACATCGTTGGTGTCATCATAAGAGGCCCCTGCTTGCTATCGCTCGCTGCGTAGGCGAGTTACGCACACGAGTTACGTACACATAAACAGTCTGTGAGATTCTTCCTCAGGTGGGATCTCTGTTCTCAATGGCCTCCATGAGTTTCCGTTTGAGCTCGTGTTCGGGTATCTGCGACAGAGTCATCAGTTCGGCCCGTGACAGACGACTAAGCGGTGTTGTCTCGGGAAGGAACACATCGCAGTTCTCTACGACACTCATGTCACGAGTCTCTGGATTAGGTTCCTCTGCTCGCAAGATCGAGTCTGAACTCGCTCTTTTTCTGGGTTTGCCTGTAAAATGAGTTTAAGTTTGAACTGTGTTTACTAAAAAAGCTGTTGTAAATAGTATTTGTACTTGCTTATGGCAATCTGTCATTTGCATTGAGCAGCTATAGTTTCTGGCAATGCAAACAATCTGTCGATTTCTTAATGTAAGTTACAGGTTTCTGTGTCATTTGTGTACCTGTGTATTTGATAAAGCAAATCTTTCTTTTTTGCATGTAGGTATTTAATTCACAGGAACACAAAGGAGAGAAGATAGAATATAGGTACTGTATCATTAAAGCTGCAGAATAACTCTATAGAGGTTGCTCCGGGATGAATGGCTCATTAAATTATGTTCTTTTTGAACGAAATTGCCTACAGCTGGTCCATATGGGATAGCTACTGTCAAAAGTCAACGATACTACACTATCTCTGGACCAATATTAGCAAGAATAATATTTAATATTTACCTTCAAGTTTGCCTCAGTTCTTACCTAGCATGTAACCTATAGTCATCCAAAAACTAAAGCATAAAGGGATATTATTTAATAAATTTATCATTAAATTGAAACCTACTGTTAACTTTTCTTTGTCCCGCTTCCGTGCTCAGTTTCCTGTGTTTCTTCGGTAGGTAGGAGACGATCTTGGGCTTGGGAGCTGTGGGAGGTCTCGGCGTCTGCTCCAGGGAGGAAATCTGCTCCAGAACACTCAGTCCGGTTAGACTTCTGGAAGGTTGTAGTGTCTCACCCGAGGTCAGTCTGTCAGAGGCCACAGGCGTGTTATCCGGGGGGATGATAATCTCTATGAGATGTTCCTGAGAGGCAGTCGAAGCGGAAGTAGTGCGAGGGGGAGGAGTGGGGGGAGCGGTTGATGTTGTGGGAATTTCAGTGTCACAGTGAATAACCACCTTGGGAGTTTCTTCCTGAGGTTCTTTGAAGCGAGACAGTTTTGTCTTGAAGGACGGAGATTTGATGTCGACGTATCGGAAGCGGGAGGCGGCTGAGGCATAGTCGGGCGACTTTGGCAGTGTTTGCAGCAACCGCATCTAGGAAAAGATATTTTGTATGTATATCACAACTATCTGGGTACCGGTAGCAGAGTATAGTGCTCGCCTCCAAAAACCAAGATAACTTAGTTTGGATTCATTGCAAGATGGGTTCTGGACTTGAATGCCAATTGTCACTGGTATGAAAATTATGGTAATATACGGTCCACGTTAAATAATAAGGTCAGAGTGGGACTACCAAAACCAAAACCACCAAATGTCCTATGGTGAAAGTTAAGTGTAATTATTTTTCTTCTTTTACAAATTGAAGTTATTTTTTCAATCTACAGGAATCGTTGCTTGAGAAAGAAGTAAAGTGGAAAGAGTCAAGGCCTTTTCTTGGCATGACTACTTACTTAAACTCTACTTAATACTTAAATAAATATGTGCAGTCTGAAATTATTTTGTCCTACAGTCACCCGACAAAGTTGGCTTCCTTCTACTGTTTATAGTACAGAAAGCTGATAATTGCTGCATATTTATACTTTGCCGTACGGTTTATACTTTGTCGTACGGTTTATACTTTGTCGTACGGTTTATACTTTGCCGCACATCAGGATTCCAACGAAACAACACAAAACAGCGTGGTTCTATTATGCACGTAATCCGTGTACGCTTGGAAATAGGTTGGAAACACTTAAGGATAATAATACTATGAGCAGCTGATTGACTATTATAACTACGATTTAACTTGTCATTTCGTGTTTATAGTTTCGGTATTTCTGAACTTTCTGGACTTTTCTTTTAAACGTTTTTAAAACATTCCTACGATCTTAATAAACAAGAAAATACCTTTAATGCATTTTTTTAGGCGCGGAAACCACTTCAAATTACAAAAACATACGGAAATATATTCTCAAAACGCGGAGCACATTTCTTGCTGAGGAAAAATAGCGGAGTGATACGGACCGCGGGTACTACTTTCTCTAGGGCACCATTTGTGTTGCCAGCTGAACCTAAAAACGTGTTGTATAGTGTTTGAAAGACTAATTATTTATATGCTTTATAGTGACTGTAGGAAAAATATAATGTGTAACACGAGTGAAAAAGGCCTTTGCTGCACTCGAGGTCATTCCGTACTCGCCTGCGGCTCGTGCGTAATCATTGCTCTCGTGTGCAGCAAAGTGCCACTTTCACCACTAGTTACACAAATAACTATTTTCTCTTGGCTTTTATTATTGTTACACAAAATATTCCATATCTTACAATAGAACATAGTTTGTTGGCAATTTAGACGGTAATCAGTAATTTAATTATATCAACATGATGTGTTCGTGGCGCAATTTCACTTACCTAATTTTTATTCTTTACCAACTTTAGGGTGGATATGGAATGTTTAGTTCTCTCCATACGAGTCCTTAAAGGGCAACTAGCGACAAAAAAACACATACTTGAATGATGACACAACAAACTTACCGAGGTTGACTGCGTATTGATCAAGTTCGGACTCCTAGGAGTCATGCTGACGTCTGACGAACTCTCTGCATCCGAAGGACTCAGAAACTGAGACGAAGGCTTGCGATTGATAGACAGGTGACTGGCCCGGCGAGAGTTGATATCAGGCGGACTCAGGTTGGTATCCCTGCTCAGCCGTCGACCAATCGCCTGCGAGCTGTGGCAGTCGAGGAACCTGCCCGCCGCCATGTTGATATCGGAACTAAGCCGACGGATGCTCAAGTTACTCGAGCTCTTAGATCTGAACACGTCTTTACTTAGACGTCTCACCAAGTTGAGCCTACAACCAGCGAGGGAACAGCTGAGGGAACTAGCTTCTACTGGGGAGGAACCATCAGTAGGGTCTATAAGCTGCTATGTACAAACACTGCAGGGCTATAGCAGGGGTATTGGTATTGCGTTTACGTCTTCAAGCAAGACAGTTTGGCCAACATAAACATTTACTACATAAATAATTCTTTAGTTTCATCGTTTACGGCGTCAAGCAAAACAGTTCTGCCAACATAAACATTTACTACATTAAAAATTTGTGTCTCATCGTTAACGTCTTCAGGCAAGACAGTTTGACCTATATAAACATATACTACACGAATAGTTCTATATAGTTTAAAACCATTTAATTACAAGCAAGACAGTTCGACCTATTTAAACATTTAATACATACAAAATTCTATGGTTTTACGGTTTCACGATCATTTATGTATTCAAGCTAGACTTTGGCCTTTATAAACATTTACTACATAAACACTTCTATAGTTTCATTGTTTACGTCTTCAAGCAAGACAATTTGGGTTAACATATAAACATTTACTACACATAATAATTTTTTTAGTTTATTTCATTGTTTACGTCTTCAAGCAAGACAATTTGACCTAACCGTCAACTACACTACTACCTACACGTAGGCTAAAAACAATCTCTAAGTTAACTAATCAGGTAAAAGACATATGGATCGTAAAATATATTATTCTATACATCATAAGGCATTATTTGGTTATCAGTCACTATACACTCTGAAGTAAGTTGCTAGAGGTACAGAGTACTGCCTTCAGTTAAGCTAGATCCATAAAAGAATATAAACACACAGTATAAGTTTTCCTCGGCTAAACGTAAGACGCCAAGCCAAGTTACTGGTACCCTCTTTTTGTGTTGGGTAAACAAGCCAATTCCTGTAAAAGCTGTATAAGACACGCACCATTGCTATTTACTCCAAAATTTTGACACAAGACCCATAATTTGTCTTTCTTCATTTCAATAAATACTGAAAACATACTCCCATTGCAGAAGCTTTATATTAAATTTGTTTGGACAAAAACATTATCCCAAAAAACTTAAGCGAAAATACTAAATTTTTTTTCTTAAATGCCATAAATATAGGAAACTTGGTATCCATATTTCTCACACTTTCAGACAGAAATTATGTACTAATTTCCACGAGTATATCTTTTATGATATAACCAATAACAACCAAGTTTTTTGGCTGCTCTATATGTACCACCGACAATATACTTTACCTAGAATGTCTTCTTTGTTCTGGAGTGTGCTTCTTGACTTTTGGACTTTTCTCCTCCGGTAAAGTCAACATTGGAACTGTTGCGTTTACTACTTTCTCTTCTTGTTGTACTCTGTAATCGATGTAATTTTTTGTAATTACTGAAAAAATGTCACTAACATAGTCAAGTCTAAACAATTTTCTAAATCACAGTGGGATTTTATTTCTCTTATAAGTAGAATATGACAATATGGCTGTAAAATATTCAAGTCCCATCAAAAGTAGTAACGATAAAATTCAAACAGTAATAAAAGTCACACATTGAAATTAAGGAATTTTTGCGTATTCCGATAAAAAAAACTTCAAAAGACTAGTTTTACAATCTTACTGGTGTCTGGTTTGTCTCAATTCCAAGTGTAGTACATTAATAAAAACGTAAAAATTCTTATATCCATTAAGCTAAAAAAAATACTTAAACTATTTGTGTACTGTTTTGTGTTTGGGGGAAGTGTTTCAAAGAATGGTTTGACGCAAGGGTTAGCTTTGATCCCGAATATAAAGTTGGTGAATAATTTATGGCTGAAATCCCTTTGTCTTTAAGATGACAATGCTTACAGCCTCTGGCAGACGTGCGATTTGCATCTCGATAACAAGAAGTGTTTCTGTTAAACAGATTCTGGTCGGTTTTACTGAATTTGTCAAGAAATTTTAGAACACTATTATTTTTAATAGAAATTTCAGCTTCGAAAGCATCAACGTTGAGGTAAAAAACATTTCTGTGATTACAATTTCTTTTAACAGGAAAAAAATGGTTGTTTGAAATAATTTAGAAGTTTCTTTTTACTAAAATAGTGACAAACAACCTCTTTAAAGAGAATAAAACAAATTTTAGAAACTAACAAAGAAATTTAGTGTTAATGTGTAACTTTTGTGTACCGGTGTGTATTTTTAATTGTTCCTTGACACATTTTTTCAGGTAATAACTGAGCTCCTGTTCCTTTCCATGGAAGAAACTTATTTAAACACCTAAGTTGTATCTTAAGTTGTCCTCCTTCAAATATGATTTTAATCATTATAATTTTAAATAATTTTGGAAAATAATTTTATTTTATATTTGCGATGTTTTAAAACTGTAATCAGCTGGTCTTCATAAGCGATCACTTATGTAGAAACAGTTGATCTTAGTCAGAAACAACACAAGCTTAAAAGGCATCGCACCTATCCCAAAACAAGCTTTTATTTAGTGTTTGAATTAATATTCCGATTTACTAAGACTTATTAAGACTTCAAAGCAATCGTAAGGTATATTAGTGCCTATTTTAGTTGTGCCTGGACTGTACAAAACTGGGTCTCAATACTTAATAGAAAACACAGTAAAAATAGTTACTGTATCTGATTTATTAATTACAGAAAACATAGAATGATATCAACAAAAATGTTGTTGACCCAGCAAGAAAATCTGCTCCAGATTTTCAAAGATTGTATTTTCATATGTTGCCAAATAAAAGAAAACAAATACTGGTACTTAAAAAAAATGTTAATAAAATTACCTTCTAATTTCTTGTATCATTTCAAAAAATTGTGCTTTACTCCTTCTTCTGCGTCTTTGCTCGTGTTCCTTCTGGAACAAAATACAGCATTACGGAAAAATATTTTAAGCTAATGGAAATTTCAAAATATGTTTTTATCTTTACCTTCCTATGTTAGGTGAAAATATCAGTATCAATAAAGTTATTTTCTGGACACGTAAATTAATTACAGACAACATTTAAATTCGTTGATTCAAGTTCGTCAAAATTTTCACTCATAAAATTTTGTAAATTAGAAAACATAAGCATTTAAGTTAAAATAAATACAGTTATAAAATAAATAATGTGTTATAATTGTTATATGAATAACATATTTTTCTGAAAAGTAGAATCATAAAGAGTAGTTTAATATAACACAAATTACTTCAATAAGAGAAAATTATTATATATTTTATAGTCTGCATGATGAAACCTGTTTCCTGGCCGTCCGTTTACCTTGGAACTGGTCAATGGTTTAAGGCCAGGTAATCATTTTTGTACCATTGACAAACTATCTGTATTTTCTCACGTGAAATGAACAACAGCTTAACATTATACATGCAATGCATGCTTACAAAAATGCTTGAAGCTGGCACAAGGCATTAGAATTAATGACACCATATTAGATATAGCATACTATTTATAAAAAAAAAATACTGTATTTAAAGCCTTCAATAATTTGGTTTTTATTAGGAGTTGACAAATTTAATAACTTTGTAATAAATTATTTTATACTTTAGGTTATAGCAAATTAGGATCAATATGTTACACAGATAAATGTGTCATTTTTCATTAATTTTATTTTTAGATTAAATTATTTTTATGGTATAAAAGTTAAAGATATTTTTAAAGCACTTTATTTTTTATTTTTATTATAAATTTCTAAAAGCAATCAGCAATTGGCAAAGCAAAATGTTTTATTCGATCATCAGCACTAATACATGCTGAGAAAGCATTAAGCGGCTATGAAGCATGTAAGGAGTAATACAATTTATATATTTTTGAAATTGTAGCTAGTTAAGGAGAAGAATAATAGAAGATAAAAATTACTGTATATAGAGTTATTTCAACCTCAGAGCAGAATTAAAGAGTGATTAAAGCGTAAAGAATTACATAGAACTTACTAATAATAAAGAAAAATAGGAAAATGTTCAAATATTGAAGCAACACACTCAAATTAATTCTGCTCTGGAACTTAAGGAGGTTTTATAGTACTTACACTTACAAAAGTTTGATAATGTTGGGTTTTCCAAAGTGTATAATGCAAAAGAATGAATTTTATTTATTTGTTAATAATATAATTAAATTTATTGAAATATATTTCTTAAATATTACTCCGTTAACGACAACATAGTTGTGTGGGTACCATTGACATTTTATTTAACCTTATAATCATTAATAACAATCTTCAAAAGCAATGTTAATACATATTGATTTACATAGTTCTAGTTCAAACAGTAACAATCTTATAAGATTGTTACTGTTAAAAGAATTTAAAAAATTTGGTTTTTCTTTTCCGAATTTGTTTGGATCTTCTACCCCACCGATTTTCATGATTGAGGTCTCAAATTGAAGGTATGCACGTACAGATTTGCCATCAAGCATCGGCATATATTTATCTTAAATCCCACTCGGCTTATACGTAAACGAAATTTGCTCCCCATGTATTTCATATGGGAGTTAAATTTGGTATTTCTTTGCCGAGTTCGTTTGGCTCTTCTACCCGACCGATTTTCATGATTGGGGTCTCAAATTGAAGGTATGCACACACAGATTTGCCATCAAGCATCGGCATATATTTATCTATAATCCCGCTCGGCTAATACGTAAACAAAGTTTGCTCCCCATGCATTTCTTATGGGAGTTAAATTTAGTTTAATTAATTCAAGCATTGGAATATATTTACCTACTGTATTACTCAAACCAAAAAACATAATTTGATTCATTTTCTTATGGGAGTTAAATTTGGTTTCATTTTTCCGAGTTCGTTTGGCTCTTCCACCAGACCGATTTTCATGATCGAGGTCTCAAATTGAAGGTATGCACGCACAAATTTGCCATCAAGCATTGGCATATATTTACCTACTGTATTACTCAACCAAAAAACATAATTTGATTTATTTTTAAATTCTTACTATAATTTAAGATGTATTTCACATTTTTAAGCAAACCAACATAAAAAGTATTCTAATGAGGGTTTTCTATGAAAAAAAAAACAATAGCTCCAGTATTGTTTATGTTTTTTTATATGTTTTAGACTCAAAATAATCAGTAAATTATAGGCTTTAATTTGAGCTATTAATCGTTTGAATTAGTTAAGCTAATATATAATATACACGCTATATACGGTATATATACGGTATATTGTATTACGCAATCGAAAATAATAAATTTGATTATTTTTCGAATTATAATTATTTTAACGCTGCGGAGTAGTATCATCTAGTTATAATTATTTTACATTTTGACAACATCTTCAGTCTAACCGTAAACGGGAAGAAATATTTTCCACCTAAAATTTTTGTTATAGTTTTACTAAGGAATGCCACTATAAAAAAGATTCAACCAAGTAACAACCAGAAAACTTATAATAACATAGGAATTTATTACAATGGGAATTTTACAAAAAAGAGTTGAGTACTTTCAGAATTCAACAATTAATTTTTTACATTAAAAAAATTTGGAATCCTAGCTCCATATTCAAATTCCCTTGCTGACCGCCATTTCTTTCTAGTTCGTCTCAGACACATACACACACAACCAGAAAACTCAGTTACAACTAGAAGCTGTTTAATTTACTTAAATACTGTTATAAAAATATTTTACAGTAGCTTTCAAACTACACTAAAATACAAATTCTTTTGTTCCAGGATTTCTTTTGCTCAATAATGTCAATTAAAACTCTGGAACAAATTTTGTAGAAAATCTTAAATATTATAACTCTTTTGTTTTGAACTGTAATTTTTTATTCCAATGCAAAATTGGACCATCTTGGATGATTCGTATCCAAGCACTATTTAGAATTTCAAAACTTAGGATAGTTTCATGTGTGTTTAAACCTCATTAAAACTCCTAGAACATTTTTAATTGTCTTCTTTAACAGTAAATGTTTTGTATTAATAAAACTGAAATGTTAACTTCTCAAAGCAAATTCCTATAACCGTCCCACGCAACTATGTTATCCAAATATTATGAATGCGCTAACATGGACGCAAACACCAACCCTTTTTACACTTTTTTGGAAGAGGCTGGTGATCTGCCCTTGCCGTAGAGTGTGTACAAGCTCCCGCGCTGCGTGGTGGGGGGAGACGAGTTCTACGCAGTTGATGAAGCGGTACAGTTTCTGAAAAAAAATTACAAGATAAAACATGTCATGTATAAAAGTTCAAAATATGTACAGTAAATAAACAGCTAAACTCTGGAAAATGGTTCTACAGGAAAGAATGGAAATTTTCCTAAAAATTATGAACTTCAAAATACGAACCCTTGTCCTTTTTGGTTAAGTGTGTTTAGGAGAGGATTAGCTATTTTGAATGTAGTCTTTTAATTTTTTTGTGTTAACACTTTTGGTTGGGAACATTCCTCCAAAAAAAGTACTTCCCCCTTGCCTAAAGTCAACTTTTTGTAATTTTCTGGACGCTGTAAATATAACATAGTATATGTATTACATTTATCAAAGATCCATCCTTAACAGATGAGAAAAACAAAACACTTTAATATATTAAGTACCCTACCTACCGTAATAGTACAATTTGGACATGGAAAATAATAAATCATTTGCTATTTAAATTAATAAAAAGCTGGTAGGGCCTACTCCAGCCCCATCTTCAAACTCTCTAAGGGTCCTCCACTTAATAGATATCCTCGATCCTTAATAGATATTTCAGCAAAAAATTAATGAGAACATAAAGATTATATGACTTGTAGAACATATCAGTATAAACGCTATACATTTTTGGAGTGCTACTTTGGTATTTATTAAACTGTATTATGTTGTGGAATTTTTTTTAAATTTTGGCTTCTAGATTGTATTCAAGATTTTTCTCTATCAATTTGGTTTTGTCTTTGCTAAGTGTAACTTTTGTTAAATTACTTCTTATGAACCTCTTGTTGAGTTGATTTACACAATTGTTGAGCTAGAAGATGGTTAATTTTATGTTTTTGGGAGATAATTTTTGGTTTTATTTCTTTACCTTTTTTTAATTTTGTTCAACGAGTTAACTGAATTTAACTTTATCCAACAGCTCAACAGTAAAAAACATATACTTAAAACTGAGTAACCTGTAAGAAAGCCAAAATAATAAATGCCAAACTTAATAAATCCTTCATAAACACCGAAGAATCCATAGAAAAAGTAAAACCAGACGACAGAGAGAAAATAAAAAAAAACCTTTGTCTTCTTTACGAGTCTTTATTATATGGACGATGTAAATTGGACTTATAAACTTAGTCCATTTAACTGTAATTAACAACATAGTTAAATCCCAAACTATGTTGGATACTTAATTTTTTATCAGTAAGATTTAAAAGTAATCTTATATTGATTATTTATAAATCAATATAAGTGTATGAAATTTGCTGGTGTCAAAATCTAGATTTTGATCTAGATTTATTATATTACCTGGCTGAAAAACATGATATTTCTACTCCTCCAGATGGTCCCCTTGGGCTTATGTCTCAGAATAGGCAGGGTGTAGCGGTAGAATAAATGTTCAATGAGCAGTATAAGGCACCCCACTACCATACCCATCCCTAGGAGCAGGAACACACCTACAAAACAACAAATGTTACAATCGTGTCAATTTTAACTGATTTCTTCTGTGTAGCATCCTTGCAGTCTTTCATGGAAGAATTCATAGGTATGAAGAATTGCAAAACATATTTTGAAAGTATCTAGACATCTTCACTACAAAATGTAAGTAGGCTACCTTTGTTGCAAAAGTGCCATCTAGCAGTGAGGTTGATAATCTTTTTGTTTGTAACAATAAAAAAGTTCCAGTTATTGAGTTGCTAGAATTCTTTACCATCTAGAGTATAATGACCTCTACCCACCACAATTTCATTTTTTCATCTCTTATTTTATAGAAAATCTGTGCTAAGGAGAAAATGTAAATTAGGTACACTAAGTATTGATGACACTGCAACATCAACTGCTATTAGCTATTTTTATTTACAAATTAGTATACAAACTAAAAAATTTCCCTTAAAGATAGAACCATGTTTAAAATACTGTTTCATTCTCTACCTCAATGAATCAGCAGTGTTGTAGTTAACATCAAAGATTCTGTCATTCGAAAGTGTTCAAAATAAAAATGAAATTTTTTCTACGTTTTTAAGAAGATCATTAAGTGTAAGTTTACCCGTGACAGCAGCAACCCCCAATGGCCGAGGTTGAGCCATGTCAGTCGCCAGTTTGAAGCACGGCAAGCCTCCGTACCACTTCTCCTGCAGAATATCCATATAGCCATTGCTGGAATACTTGGCTATCACAGCAGAAATGCTGTCCTGAAATATGTTGAAAGGTTAGGCATTACAGTTTGTCAAACACATTTATAATGGATGGATGAAAGATAAAATAACATCACGATAACAGATATGAAATGTAAAATTTTACTGCAATTTATTTAATGAAAAAAGAGTACCTTTAATACTTACTTTAAGAGGAAAGCCTTTGGTCATGCCTACAGCGTAGGTGTCTTCGTTGATTGCATCACCAATTTTCTGAAGTTTACACCCGTGGTCGGTTGCTCGGTAATAGTCCAAGATTGGGGTGTCCGCTATCAGAATGTCTAATGAACCGTTTCTGGAAAATATTACAATTTATTTTTTCTTTGCGTTGGGTGACAAAAGCAATATGTTAGAATCTGTGTACATATTTGATTTTTGGTAACCAAAGCATTTTTGAAATAGTTCAATAGAATGTTTATCGATATTGTAAAATATATGGAATACTAGCTGTAACCCGCGGGCTTTGCCCCGTTTAACTTCTTAATTTTCAAAATTATCTCGTTCGCATGGCTCAATCACGTCCTGGTTGAAGTTTGTTCGCTACGCTCACTCACCTTTAGGTTGGAGCTCGTTCGCTACGCTCACTCACCTTTAGGTTGGAGCTCGTTCGCTACGCTCACTCACCTTTGGGTTGGAGCTCGTTCGCTGCGCTCACTTGCCTTCAGGTTAGCTCGTTCGCTACGCTAACTCGCCTCCAGGTTGAAGTTCGTTCGCTACGCTCACTCACCTTTTGGTTACAAATTAGCTGTTGTCAGAAATGTAAAAGAAATAATAGTGCCGCACCCTGTTGGTAATCCTTGTAACTTTAAAGCTATTGAACATCATAGAACAGAACCAACTTGTTTAATTGAAACAGCTGTTAATATTCGATAATTCCATTTCTCATAAGGTTAACATGGGAAACTGCAGAGCCACTGGGGCGGAGCCCGAAAGGATTTTTGAAATAAGAATATGCCTATATGTTAATCGGGTATGTGAGCTATCATCATGCCAAATTTCAGCCCAATCCGACCAGTATTTTTCGCGTTCACTTGTCACAAACATACATCCATACATCCATACATCCAAACTTTCTCATTTATAATATTAGTAGGATATTCCGTACTTAATTGTAAACAAACATTGCGACAGAAGTACATAATGTCCTACAGACAGTACATGGCAGCAAAATATAAAACGCACCCTTGTTACAGTGGACCTGCACACCGGTCGTATTCCACATGATAGATTAAAATCAGGTATAAATAAAAAAAAAAATTAAATGATAAAAAAATATAAAAATTAAAAAGCGTAATTTTGAAGAATTTATTTATCAATTTAAGATTAGCTAAACTAATTCCTTAGTAAACAATTACGTTGATTAAAGGCTATAGAGGTGTAAACGGATAAAAACTTGTATGGACTTGTCGGCCATGTGGTTCACACATACTGAGCGTGCCATCAATGTAATGACCAGAAATGGCCCTCTACAACAAGAAAAGGTGGGTTGAATCCAGTTAATGTAATTTCTCGTTTTATGTTATGACCTTCAGTAAATATTTCAAATTTGTTGACTTTATCACAGCTAATATTAATCAATCTGGAACAAATTTAATTTTTGGTGCACTTTTTATTGGTATATACAGGTTATAGCGAATTATTAAATTAAATCATAATCTAAATATCCCCCCCCTAAAAAGTTTTCATTTAATTTCTTGAAGGAAAGTCCTCTAACCAAACCTGAATCTGAAAATGTTGGGAGCCAGATTTACTCTGACAAATAAATGATAAATACGATGCAAAGTCATCTTAGAAACATAATTATAGCTGTTAGAAATTTGCTGGTTACCTTCACTTTATGAAAAGCAGTATTTAAGGCTAGTGCTAGTGAAATTTCATTTTTTTAACTTGCATTTTTCAGTATTATTTATTTTTGATGGTGATTGAAAAAATCTGTGGTTTTAACTAGTTTATCCATTATAAAGCTATAAATTATCAACACAATACAAGCCAAGGAACCTTTTATTAGTATTATTTTATTTAAAGGGTGTATCACACTTTTGTGTAATAGAGTTTTAACTTTAAAACATAAATTTTCAAGAAAGAAAACAAACCGTGGAGATATAGTGGTTAGTCATCAATAAAACTGAATCTTTAACATTTCATCACTGGTGTTATGTTTAGCTCAAGATATATCCATACACACAAAACTCTTACAACTATTCTTTTATAATCAAGGGAACACCAAAACAAAAACTTGTATCAAATCCTCTAACAATTTTTTTTCAAAACAATACGTTCCCCTGTATAACAACTAGAAAGTAAGTAAACATTGACGGTATAAGTAGAGTGGTATTTTTGGTACATACTTGAGGTGCTGCACTCCCGTGGCAACATCTTTGACAGAATACCTCTGCATATGTTCCCACAACACCTGATTAGCTCTGTGTACGTAGTAGTCCGCAGCAGATGCTCTCGGAGTGCCTACTCTCTGCGAGAGAAGCTGTAACACAGGATTAAAGTACTTTCACTTGGATGATAAATGGGTTTCAGAGTTGTTAGAAGACTGCTGTCGAGAGGGTTGAGTATTGTTGGGTGTGTTGCTAGCCTAGTGGTTAGCGTCTCAGACTTTGGTGTGGGAGGGATGGATTCGATTCCCGGCACACCCTCGAAGCGTATGGGTTTGGTCTTTCCCAAAAAACGTTTGAATATTACTCTCTTTAATCTCGTCAAAAAGATTCCAACAGCGTTGACAAGAAAAAAACAATAGCAACAAATAAGTTATTTTTTTACACTGAAATCATAGTTGAATGTAAGTACATCACTAGATTCAGTAGCTTTTAAATTTTCATTATTGCAAGTAAATGAAAAATCAAACAGCTAACTTATAATAACCTATACTATCATCAGTGATTTTATAAGTTGTGCTCAAACTAGAACGGCATGCCTGCTCTAAGCAAAGGGATCATGTAGTTGTTATACTAAGTTAATATAATTAAGTAAATATTTTAGTACCGTACAAAGTGACGGATTTGAGATTTTTTCATAAGAAAATGGCTCGTTAACACCAAATAATTAATGCAAAATTTTAAGGTTAAATAAAAATGCAAGTCCTTGGACTGAGAATGAGTTTCATAAACGTGAGGCATAACGGAGATTACAACTTGAGGGGGTCATATTTTTACCAGCCCATGACCTGCAAAAAATCCATCAACTATAAATTTGTTCTATCCCTTCATTCCTTTCCCCAAGATCGGATATTTTATTTCATAGGTGAAAACTACTCTAATTTTAAACAACGTCAAACGTCTACTCACACTCCGGTCGTGGTAGTCCCCGACGGCGTTGTGGAAGAAGAGTCCAGCGATGAGGGCAGCAATGTTGGCAGTGTAAGAGGCCACAAAGATGACAGAGAATCCTCCCCAAACGTTGATGAGGAACTTGTTGGGCCATGACTTGGGAGCTTTGAAGGCCACGAGATGTCCACACAGCAGACCCCAGCAAACCCACAGGGCGGACGACATGCTGAGGAGAGAAGAAGATGAACCAGGAGTACGGTGGAATTGAATGTACCGGTAAGGATTAAACTATAGACACACGCATCTTGTAACTTTGAATATTAATAGAAGCAGACATCTAATTGTCATGATAAAGTTGTAGAAAGTTTTTGAATTAAAATTGACATTGAGAAATTGAGCCACAACCCTCAACAGATGCATGTGTTAGTGACTTAATTAAATAAATTTTACCTGTTAACCTGTAATGGCTTACTATAGCTCAAAATATTTACTAAATGATGGATCCTCCTGATGCTTTGTCTACCTGGTACTGGCCCAGGCCTTTAACCATTGGCCAGTCTCCAGGTAGAGGGTGGGTCAGGATACAGAATCCATCATGCAGACTATAGTACACTGCAAAATGTATAGTTTTCAACATTGCTCATCATTTTATTATTGTAACTAAAACTCTAAGGCTTTCCTTGGTTGAAGATATTTGTGCTAGGATAACTGGTGTCTTTTTAGTTTTAAACTATGGCTTCCCAGAATTCTAGACCCTGACAGCATTTCTTACCTGCCAATCTGGCATGGTGTTCTATAAGAGTATAAGTTAATGTTTATGATTAATGCTAAGTTAAATTCTTTAGGGATGAATAGTTGGTATTACAAAAGTTACATCCTTATTATACAAAGCTATTTTTTATTAAATAAATTCTGCTACAGTAATAAGTAAACAAAAACAAAAGTGGCAGTTTTCCATTACAAAAATAATTAAATAATCTGAAACTATTCATTAGCGAACTTACCAGTTAAAAAGAGCTTAGCTTAAAACAGTAACAACCTGGTCATAGTTTATAAATACTTGAATGATGGCATAAAATAACAAGTGGAAATTTCAATGCATTCTAAAACCTAAATACAATGACTAAGCAAACCTGAAATTCTTGCTGCGCTGGCGACCCCAGGGGTTGAGGCCGAAGGGGCTGAGCCACTCGTAGATAGCAACGGCAACCGCGGTGACGTTGAGGGATGTGAAGATGGCAATCCATAGCTCGGGAGAGAATGGAAGTAGGAATGCCAACAGAGGAATATCTGTGCGCTGCCGGGGTGCTGCGAGGAACGACACACCACTGAAGAAGTAGGGCACTGAGAAGTCTATTACTTGGGACCTAGAGCAGGTCATTCACGATCAAAACCTTGCAAGTAATAGATTTTACTTAGTGAGATATCATCCCTCAGACACATTGTTAAAGATAATCCCCCGCCGTATAGTCTTCCCCAGCACTTTAAAAGTAAACCAGTTATAGTTTTACGTAAGTAAGTATAGGAACTCTACACTATCCACCCAAGACAACATGATTTTTAGGATCTTTCAGTAAAAGATCAGTGTTTTAATGAACAGCTAGAATAATTTTGTTACCATCAAAAAGTGCAACTCAAGTACCTATACATTGGTGTAAATTGGTAGTTGGGATAGTATAGCTATACTCTGTTTGATGAAACCTGTCTCCTGACCCTTCGTCTATCTGGGGACTGGCCAATGGCACGGATCAGTACCAGGTAGAGGAAAGGTCTGGATACAGGATATATATTACAGACTATAGAATGCTATATGGCTGAATAAGGCAAGTGCACATTAACGCTCTGTGCTTACTAGCGTTTCTTTGTATTTGTTTACTTCAAATCCTCTGCTCCTCCTTCTCCTTCTACTCATCCTCCTCCTACTCCTAAGAAAAACTAAGCTAGGGAAATTTTGTGTTAAATAAACATAAAAGCTTATACAAAATAACCAGTTAAATTTAACTTTTGTAAATAGGTTGTATGTTGTTTGTGCTATAAATTATGAACAAGAGTTTTAAGTATGGAAGCGGTTACCCATACAAGAAAACAATGAAAAAGAAATCTTAAAATCTTGAAAAAAATATTTAAAAAATCTTCTTTAACTAGATATTTACAGCCCAAAGTCATAAGACATGTATGTAGTGTGTGCCTACTGTGAACATAGGTAGAAGGAACAGGGTTAAACAGCTGTAGTTTTGAGCTGTGTAAACAATCAAAGTAATTGTAACTGACTCACTTTTACTACTTGTGGCCATCAAAGTAACCAACCAGGTTTCATTTTTTTTAAAATTTATGATCTAATTGTTCCATAGCTGTGAGTAAGCTACACCAACCATAATGTAAATCTCGACTCCATTACTCATTACACTTTAAAAACTCATTATTAACTCATTATTATTACTCATGATACTCTTGTACTCTTATAAAAGCTTAGTGGTTCAAGTGCTCAAAGAATCGTAAGGTCACCTGTGAAAGTTTAGTAACTTTTTTGGGATTAAAATTTATATCCAAACTAAATTTCTTTGATCATAAAACTGGTAATGAAATGGAACTGTATTTGCCTGACTTGACCCTCCCTTGGATCAATTTAAATAGCAATAGGTTTAAAGAGTAGCCTACCTAGTTTTGCTGCGACAGTGGGGTGGGGGTAGTTGGTAATGAAGTGTGTTTTTAGTAAAATATTAATATGAATAAAGAAATTGTCCTGGTTTGATCAACATATATCCAGAAAGAACAGTTAACTTATTCTCCATAAGAATAACAAAGGAATTTTAAATTTTAATTTTTTTGGATATTCTACGTAACCGATAATCACACAAAATAGTTCTACATACTAAATATTTTTTTTAAGCTCTTTAAAATCATTTAAAGAGAAATTGGGAAACTTTGTGTTTTGAGGGCTAAAATGAAATAAATGAATTTTTCCCCCATAAAACATAAACCATAAAAATCCGTTCCCATGGTCTGATCATGCTGGTTTGATAACGCATTCGAGTTTATCCCACCTTACATCTTCAAGCCAAATTTAATCAAAATCGGATAAAAAAATACTCAAGTCATTGCGTTCACAGACACATACATAAAATTTAAACGAATGGTGTTTTTGGTCTCTAAGGACATCAAAATTAAAAAGTATATCAGTCCCGTGTCCAGGTCTTACCATGCTCCCTACAGTAAATAGGTGTGTAGGAAATTTCACAAAAAAAAAAACTAATAATATTTTGTTTTATTAATGCACTTAGCTCTTTCATACAAAATAAAACAATAACAGTTTGAAATGATTTTGACAAAATATGATAATGATAATTTTTTTATTGTATACTTATCCAGTTTAACTCTTATAAGTGACTAAAATCTATTTTTACGCTAACCTCGATCAAGACAAGTTATTTATCTTTATAAAAAGATCTTCATAAAAGAATATTCAGACTAACAACGGATTAAGAAAATTAAGTTCACACAAACGTCTAATTGTTTAAAAACAAGTTGGATATTGCAAAAGTTTGTAAATACAAAGTTTTCTGATTTTGTTTTAAAAGAAACAGCTGACAAAAGAAACACTTTCTGATTACATTTAAGTTTTCCTAGAATATTTCTTTGGGTGATGCGGATTTCCTTACTGTCTATCTTCTAAACTCGCTTAGAATAAATTGATAAATTTATCTTTGTTCCTTTAACTATACTATTTTTCTATATAAACTCCTGTAAGAGAAATACAGCTTAGTTATAACTGAAAGTGTTAAAGAAACTTTTTTTTAAATAACGAAAACATTAAAAAAAAATTATACCCCCCCCTCTGCAGTAAATCTGCAGACTAAGCAAATTTCAATTTGTCTGGTTGGATTTTTACTCAAATATTTCCATAAACAAGACATATTTATTCCCCACTAGCAGAATACTCGTACTTCGTACGGGGTTTGCGTATAAGTATAAAATACTTATTGCAGCTATACTCATGCTTTGTGTTTGCAATGGAAGAGGACACGGTTTGAGAAAATTTGGTTCTTTTAATTTACGGAAGCTATAGTATAACACATACCATAGCAATAATGTTCTACCACTACACCTAAAAAATAAAAAAGTAAATTATCGAATATCCGCACAATATCAAAACATTATAAATCAAAAACATAAACTTAACTGTAAACAATTAATCCTACTGTAACAGTTCTCATTGTGCATCACAGCCTTTTGTTGCAGTTTGGTTCAAATTAGCTATGTTGTCATGAATGAAAAATCAAATAATAGTGCTGCACCCTGTCGGTGAACCTTATAACTTTTAATAATATTGAATATCATAGAACAAATTAGGTAATTGAATCAGCTGACAAAATCCTTTAATCCCTTTTAAATATGAATACTCATAAGGTTAATATGGGAAACTACAGAGCCACTGGGTCGGAGCCCAAAAGGATTTTTGAGATAAGAATAAGTCTATAAGTTAATTTGGAATGTGAGCTATCATCATACCAAATTTCAGACCAATTTGACCAGTAGTTAAAGTGTGATTGAGCTTCAAACAAACAAACACACAAACCTTCACATTTATAATATTAGTAAGATTTAAATAACAATAGATTTAACGAGTATCTAGGTTTGCTGCTACGTGGAAGGTAAAAAGTGTTTTGTGACCAATGTTAATAGCATAGGATGAAATAAATACATTTACCGAAATTTGTATTGATTTGTTTACTAGAAAAAAATTATTGGTCAACATACATCCATCAGCCAGAAAAATACAACAGTTTTTTCTCCAAGTAGCATGAGAATCTTAAAAATATTTTTTTTTATTTTGGTGGATCTTAATAGCTTTTTTCCTTATGGGAATTCGCTAAAAGGTGACTTAAAAGCCAAGTTGATGCTAATTACATGATGATTTTCCTGTGAGGAAATGTTTGACAGTTAACGTTTCAACTGGATTGGCACTAATCCTTTTGTGATGAATCGCACCTGAAGAGGATTTCATCTCTAAAGAATAAAGCACTTTTTGATACTCTTTGACAGCCTCATTGTAAGAACTATTTTAAAATTTTACATTAATTTAAAGTCTTCTTTGTTCTAACATTTATTTTTATATTTATAGACTATTTTGATAGTTAAGTGTTGATTATACTTTGAATTGTTATTATTTAAAAACGAATTCAGTTGTTTAATTAAAAATCCATTAAGAAGTATGTGTTGCACTATAGATTGTTGTGCTGGTGTAAAGATATCTGTTGGTTGAATTTTTTAGGGAATTTACCATGCAGAGAATTGGCTATTACATCAGGTCTCATGGTAAGACCTAGGCCCAGGACCGATTTACTTTTCCTGTTAATGTTCCCGGAGGCCAAAAACACCAATCGTTCAAATTCATATGTATTTGTATCATATTTATATAAATAATTCATATATGCTAACATGTGTCCGTCTAGCACGATATTTGAGTAAAAATAGTCAAATTTTAGTGAAATTCAGTGCAAACGTGTAAACTTATGTTTATTCGAACGAGTTTGCCAATTAGAATGATCAAACTATGGGAACAGGGTTTTATGGGGTAAAAATGGGGTTTCTTATTTTTGGCCCTCAAAACATAGAATTTCGCAATTTCTTTAAAAACTATTTTGAAGAGCTAAAAAGCGAATAATTTAGTACTTTGATCCTCCATATCAGCACAAACGGCAAATTAATAGTGAAAACCATCTCTAGATCTAATAAGATGGCTAAAAGATTTTAAACGTTTAAATCATTATAGGTCTGATAACTTTTAAAAATGTTCCAGAGATCAGACCGATTGTATACTGACCAATTAGTCCGAGAGTAATCGGATATCTATTGGTGTGTCAAAGTCATTGGATACAGAGCTATGAGAATTAAGCGTGTACCTATCAGTTAAACAAATAGGAGTTATGAGAATTATATTTAGCTACATCGGCATCATAAGAATCCAAGCGTTGTGATTTACAGTAACTTCCATTGCTGTTTTCAGAATCAGAGCTATTAAGATTTAAATGTGCGTGCATTTATTGGAGTAATGGGAATCGGAGCTATTGTGGTAAGAAGTGTGCATCAGTTATAAGAATATGAGTCTTGAGAATGATGAGTAGCTACATCAGAATAATAAGAATACTGTAAAAGCTTTGAGAATTAATTATGCATCGGAGTTATAAGAATGGGAGCTATGAGAATTGAGCGTGCATCAGCTACAAGAATAGGATTAATGATAATTATGAGTAGCTGCCTCAAAATAAAAATAATCTAAGCTTTGAGATTTAATGGTCTATTGGAGTTAAAAGAATCGGACCTATGAGAATCAAGTCACAAGTGTGCACGAGTTAAAAGAATCGGAGTCCTGAGAATTATGTGTAGCCTTATCGGAACAATGAGGATCCAAGTTTTGAGAATTAAATATGCATCAGAGTTGTAAGAATCGTAGCTATGAGGATTTAGCTTGTATGAGTTACACAAATCGGAGTATTGAGAATTATGTGTAGCTGCATCGGAACAATGAGGATCCAAGCTTTGAGAATTAAATATGCATCAGTGTTGTAAGAATCGGAGCTATATGAGAATTAAGCTTGTATCAGTTATACAAATCGGATTGATGAGAATTATGTGTAGCTACATCGGAACAATGAGAATTCAAGATTTGAGAATGAAATATGCATCGGAGTTGTAAGAATCGGAGCTATGAGGCGTGTATCAGTTAAAGGAGTCTGATTGATGAGAATAATGTTTAGCTATATCGGAGTAAGAATCCAAGATTCGAGAATTAAATGTGTAGGAGTTATGAGAATCGGAGCTATGACACCCCGGCACTGTGCATACCTCGGGCTACTAACGCTGAGGGCTGAGAATGACATGTGGGCCGCCCCCGAGACTAGGTCGCCGACGATGCCGTTCCACTTGACCTCACCATCACTCTGGACCACCCTCGACCCGTAGGCCTCGTCCGCCACGATGTACAGGTGGAAGTCAAACTCCAGCTCTTGGGCGACGTTCTCCAGAAGGTCCATGCTCAGCCCGTAGCAGCAGTTGGTCCTGTACTTGTACCTGGAAAAGAGGAAAGTCAGTAGATTTTTTGTTTGAAACGCTATGCAGCTGTGGTTGATTATTGGGATGACTTCCATTATTATAGGAAAGATATAATTCACGGTAGGCTATTGACTAAAGAAATAACTTGTTTTTGGAAGAAAAGGCTAAACACATGGAATCTCCCTACATTTTACAGCTGTAGTGGGTGTCCATGATTAATTAAACTTTTATAATTTATTCCGGCAAAGAAACAGCTGATAGAGTCAGAAAAAACCATGCAAGCATTTCCATCTCCTAAAAAGCACGCAACGCCACAGTCCCGGCCAACTGAAACAGATGTATACGGTTCTAATGTATAATGAAGCATCTGTGCAATGTTTAAGTTTAGAGGTTTGATATCCATTCATATATAAATCCAAAAAATACCCATGAACTTTTGAGAAAACTACAAGTCACACCCCTATATCAACCATATACTTAAAATGTTTCTTTATGACGAGAAACCTTGGTCGTAATTCCTTTCCAAAGGGAACTTTCCATATACCTAATGTTAAAAATACCTTAGCTGTACTTATTTGTATGTTATTCTTTCGATTTATTACCTTACTAGCAGAGTACACGTTCTTCGTACGGGGTTGGCGTATAATAAAAATGGTTATTGCAGTTACACTCTAGCTTTGCATTTGCAATAGGGGAGGACAAGGCTTGAGAGAATTTGGTTCTTTATATTTACGGTATGCTATAGTATTACAGATATAGTATAGTATATACAGTATAGTGTTACACATTTACCATAACCATTCTGTTCTACCTTTGCACCTAAAATATAAAAAAGTAAATGATCATACATTCCTACATAATATGACAACGTCATATAGTAATTTAAAAAGATAGTTTGGCATTTGAAACAAACAAATACTGATCAATTGTCTTTACAGCCTTCGTAATAATCTAGACAGAATGCTATTTCCTACAGCAATAAAGAAAAGTGTTACAGTTTTATCCTCAAGACTCTAGGCAGATGATTTGTTGAGGCAATGGACCAGATCTGTGCCTCATTTGTTATAAGGCTCAATTTTTCCTTTCATTTACTTCATTGGTGCCAATATTTTACGGTAAAGGATAAAGTCTTCAAAGAAAACTGTGTGAAAAACAATGTAAGAAAGACTTGAGTTATTAATAGTTTGGTCGTTCATTGTTTAATGTATAACCTAAAATACTATGTACTATAGTCCCGTGTTTTACAAATATCTACAAGTAACTACATTTTGTGCCTTCGTATATCGCAAATACTTAGACTGACGGTGAGTATTTACAAGTTAAAACAAATTAGGATAGACTAAATTAAGGTCAGGCTATTTTAATTATAAGGTAGAAAACAAAGTGCCTTATGACTAAGAACAAGACTTAGTGTCAATTTTACTGAATCTTTACTCGAATAAGTTTTAATTTTATACTTTGTATAAAAGTAAGTAAAAAAATAAGCATCGGAAGTGTACACAACGTTTACATTTTCAATGAAAGTTTAAATATTACGCCCGAAGTTAGCCACAACAAATTATTTAAATATAATGCTTGGTCATTACTACATACATTAACGTATATTCAAGAACGATGCAAATAATGTCAGTACTGCATAAAAGAATATTGACTTTTCGTTCAAGTGAGTTATAATGTTGACAGCTCATACTTTTATTACAAAACCCTTATCCTTTTATGGTTTTAGGTTACAAGTATTTGCATTCCTCTACATTCTTCCAACGATATACAGTTGTCTGATATTCTTAGTAAAAATATTTTCCGATGGCGAATGAAAATACTATTGATTTATGTTTATTTAACAAAAAATACACCCAAATGCAAGGTGTAGGAGATTGTGGTAATGTATATTAACAATGCACTTTTAGAGAAAATGTAGTGTATACTAGGAGTTTTAACGATGCTATATATATCATAACATTCCGTTTACTTTTGGTTTTAGGACATTTCTTAAATTTTTAAGGTTTTAATTGCTTTGAAACATTTATTGATACTAAAGTTTATTTTTTTAGACAATTTCATATACAACACTATTGGACCTAATCAAACTTTTTTGTAATTTTAAAATTCTGTGCACCTTTACAAAATACATGTTTATAAATTTTAAACAGGGAGTGGGAAAATTACATTTAAAATACGACCCACACAAGAAATTTCTAATTTGAAAAATTACAACTTCCGAACGACTCTCAAAATTGAAAAATTTTAAAATGCTATGGATTTGAAACATGCTTTGCCTTCATCTTGTATTGATTATCAATAAAATCGATAATCTGTATATAGTATTTTGCCTGGAGAAAGGAGGCTATGGTGGTCCCTTTATGTAGCAATATTCTAGATGAAATTCTTGATAAAGGCTATGAAACAAACGTGCTGTAGTTATTACATGCCACGGTGTTTGGAATAATTCTTATTCTTAGACAGCTGAATCTTGCATGCGGCATTGCTAGTAAATGTAGCAAAGTAACTCCCCATACTAACTGGGAAACTAATAAAATCAACATAAAGGTAATACAAGTTTGCATTAAAAATACATTTTCACAAGCTTTTAAACATAAAACCGCAGTTAAATAGAAAAAAAAAACAGTAGCAATTGTTAACAATTAAAAATATATTTTTTTAAAGTACGATTGAAATTTAAATAGCTTTACTTAATATTTGTACGTTCCCAGAATGTTGGACCATTTGATCGGACTGCAATAAAAGTAATATCTGCAATAGTTTCGGTTATTCTAAATAACAAAGTCATTGAATTTTAATAAATTTGCAAGATAAAATAAATTAATTCGTTTACAAAAAGCCTACTTCAGTGAAGTGTGTAGGTAAAGTTTAAATTAACAGAGTTTAAAAGTATTGTTTTTGACAGTGTCAGAAAGCTATTTATAACTTAAAGCATGAAAGTATGATAATTTTACAAAATTTTCCGGAGTTAATATAATAACCGGTGTGATATCAGTGTACTGGGGGCGGTTGAGATGTTTTTGCCCCCAGACTTAAATTAAAAACGGCAGCGTGTCCGTACAAGTTTACTTTGGCCCCAGCTGTGAAGTTTTCAACATACTTTGATCGATATCTTGATATTAGATTTATTCTCCATCTTTAGAGGAATTCACGGATATCATTTATGGTTCTTGCTATGAACAATATGTGCACTTTAACTGGGCTTATACTGTGGAATAATTATCTATTATTAACGATTGGACAGAAATAGTGTGATATAGATCGTAATAGCTCTTTGGACCCAAATTAAATTTGAATTAGATTCATCAACTAAATAGGTTGTATAGTAACTACATTTTAACTTTTAATTTGGAGCATCGAGACTGAATACAACATTAAAAGACTACCTATTACTTTTGCCAGTACTCAAAGCCACTGTACATAATAAATTGATTTTTTGATTTGTATTTATTCAACAAAAAGTTGATGGATGCCTTTTAAAGTAAAAGTTTCAACTGTAGGTCTTTTATAAGTTCATGAATAAAAGATAAGTAGATTTAAACATTCATTTTAAACATTTTATCCCATGGACATCTGAATAGTATATGAGTTATAAAGCCTCGCCATCTTGCCACTGACACTAATAAATAGTATTAAGGATAATTTACAAGCTACGAATCAAATGTTATGCTTTGGTGTTCTATTTTTCTTGATTTGATGAATTTAAACTAAGGAGTGAAAAAAAAACTCAGGGTAAAATATACATTAATCTAAACCGTAATATTCAAGTGAATCAACTTACATTTTGAATGGTTTTGAGGTTGGGTATGATTACACAACTAAATACAGACATATTGTAAGTACTAAACGTTTTTACCTAGATTATAGCAATGGTCTATATAGACTACATAGTTGTTTTTTTTTAAATACAAGCTATGTGTGTCACAATTATGTTATATAGTTTTATGCTTTATAGAGAAGAGAAAAAGTTAATATTTTTTAGATATAACAAAGCTACGACACAATATTGTACCAAAGCGCTACACGTTTCACTGGTATGGAAATAGCAGAATAACGTTTATTAGGGCATAAACAGTTGTGACTCTTTATTGAGTCCATGTGTTTCTGATGTCATTTTTTAACATCCGCGACTGTTTGGAAGTACATTTTTGCCGTAACATATTTTCACTCTACCACTTTTGATATGATCTGTGATATTGTTACAAACTGTTTCTCCTCAAAAACTAAAACAAACGAACTTGTCAATAACTAAAACACAAAATATTTTCTGGGGATAAAAATACAAATACTAACCAATTTTATAAAATTTAAAAATTATATTGTAGAATGGCGTATATAGTAAACCTATGAATGCAGCATAAATGAATTTTGTACTGGTAATATTTAGTTGAAGTTGGAATAATGTAAATGTACTTTATATTTACAGTGGTTTTAGAATTGTTTTTGTTTTATATAATGCTAAAAATATCCGTAATCTATTATTACCTTTTTACCTCAAAACGAGTTACCACTATTATGCCTATTTACCACATTAATAAAACGATCTTTGCTAATAGACGAAACAATTTCTGTGTATAATACAATTATTATTAATAACCTAAAACAACGTTGATAAGTAAATGATGTCATTGACTTTATGAAGTGGTAGTAGTATTATCCTTTGTAACATTAAAAGCGGGTAATTAAATGCACTATGATAAAATGTTTTCATAAAAAAAAAACGTTCCAACTTTAATAAGGAGGTTAATAAGGTAATTTAGTGGTATTACAAATTTATATGCGCACACCAATCGAGAAAAATACACTATTTGCTACTTTTCCAAAACAAAACTGATCCCAAATATTAAATTTAAAACTCATGATCAAAATCACGTATAAATAAGAGACCACTTTTTCTTAAACAAATGATTTTAGCTAAAACATTTGACTATTGATACAACTATTGGGACTTCAGTATCCATAGTCAATGCCAAAACTCTGTAAGTCTTATACATTAACCAATATGTTGTTGTGTTAAA